AGGCAAAGTTGTGTGTTGAGTAGTGTGTACACTGGCACAGATGGCACCAGGGTTTCCGGAAGTGGTAAGTTCCCTCTTCACTTTTTTGTGGTTGTTTTCTTGAGACAGACTGTCCTGGAACTCTCTCTGTAGACCAGGCTGGCCTCAAACTCACAGAGGTCTGTCAACCTCTGCCTCCTGAGTACTGGGATTAAAGGTGTGTGTCATAACACCTGGATTCCCTTAAAACATTATTTTTAAAGATTTATTTATTTATTTATTATGTGTACAGCATTCTGTCTGCATGTGTAACTGCAGACCAGAAGAGGGCACCAGATCTCATTACAGATGGTTGTGAGCCACCATGTGGTTGCTGGGAATTGGACTCAGGACCTCTGGAAAAGCAGCCTTAACCACTGAGTCATCAAAAATTATTTTATGTGTTTGAGTGTTTTGTGTGTGTATATGTCATGTGCATGCCTGGTGCTCACAGAGGCCAAAAGAGTGTGGGAGCTGGACCTGGAGTTATAGGCAGTTGTGAATCACCATGTGGGTGCTGGAATCTAACCCAGGTCCACTGGAAGGGCAGCCAGTGCACCTATCCACTGAGATATCTTTCTAGCCCTTCCGTTTTTTGTTTTTTGTTTTTTAGCTGTTCCTCTACTGACTCAGTAAATGTTTGCAGACTAAAACTTTATGGATATGGAGTACATGTCTGTTATAGTCACTGTGTGCCTAGCACATTATATATTCTCTAATAGCATTTATAGAGTATATGAATGCATGACTGCTAGGCATTTTTGTAGAACTCTTAGTAATATTTTTTCCCAGACATTTTTTAGATTAAATTTATATCTGACCAGTTTCCAAAAATACTTTTATTTCCTAGAAATAAGTATAAATAGGCAAGTTACAAAACAAGAAGTACAGATGATAGAAATAATAACCCATGGCAATATTGTATATCTAATTGATATGGAAGCTTGTGTTTAGTGTATAGCAAGCACTTAAGTATTAACTATCTAATTTATAGTTACTAAGTGATATTTGTATAAGGTTATTGTTTGTTTTTGAGATAGGATCTCATTATGTAGTCTGTGCTGACCTGGAACTCACTGTGCAACCTAGGCTGGTCTTGAACTTGTGATTCTCTTGCTGCTGCCTCTGAAGGCTAGGCTTACAGTTGTGCCACCATGTCCAGGTTGTAGCATGGCTTTTATAATAGCAAAAAGTTGGCAATAGTTTTTATCACAGATTGTTTAAAGGTTATGTTATGGTACAGTTCTACAATGAGGATAATTCAAGCTATAGAAGATAATTGCTCCTTTCTTTTCTTTTCTTTCTTTCTTTTAAATTTTGAGACAGGGTCTGGAATTGCTCTGTAAACCAGGCTGGCTTTGAAATAATAGCACTGTGCCTGAATGCTGGGGTTATAGGCATGAGTCACCATCCAGTGAGGTTGTTTTGTATATTGACATAGAAAAATGTCTTAAAACTTATTGTTGAGTTACAGCAAATGGTCAAACAAAACATTGGGTAATTTTGTTTTTAAAAGGAAAACTCCACTAAAAACACCTTTATTCTTAACCTAAAGTACAGTTTTTTTTTTGTTTAAATTTATAAAGAAAGGGAATATAGAACTTTTGTATTCTTTTTTAGTAGTTAAAAGATGTTAAATGACAATAAATACAAATAGTTGGGGTCACAGGCATGTGTAGACATGCCTGGCTTTTTATGAGAGTGCCAGGGATTTGAACTCATATCCTCATGCTTGTATAGAAAGTACCCTTACCTACTGAGTCATCTCTTCAACCGCAGAAGAACATTTTTTTTTAAAGAAGCAAACTATCTCCTTTATTACACTTTGCTATTTTACATATAGTAGTGCCAAGCTAATAAAGACTTATATGTATTAAGAAGAACAATTTTATATTATTAATCTTTTCTGCTAGTATTTAGTTTACTGTTTCACTTTGTGGTACCTTATAAAAGTTTTAAGTTAATATTCATCTTTTTATTTTATTTTTTGCTTTCTGAGATTTCAGTTACATTTGCCAGAGTCCAAAACATTAAGTAGAATTTGCAGAAATAATCTGCCTTAAAACTGTAGAGCATTCAGTGCATAGTGATGAAATCCCATACCTTTGTGTTGCATACTGCCTAAGATGTAGCTCATCATTTGTTCATCACTGTTCTCCCTTTAGTAGCTTAGTCTTGGTTATTAGATATGTAGAGCTGATACAAAGCCTCAGATAAGGGGACCACTGTATAGTATCATCTTTCCATTTTTTTCTTAAAAGGACATTTAATTTATTGTATGTGTTGGGGGTGAGGTGGGGTGCAGTGTGCTTTGGTACGTGTGTGAGGTTCACTACTTTTCTTCCATCATGTGGTCCCTGAGGATTGAATTGAGGTCATCAAGCTTTGGCAGTAAGTGTCTTTGTCCTCTGAGCCATTTCACCGACCCCCTGATGGTTTTCTTCATAACTTCTGAATTTAGTGTGTTGTTTTCTTTTCTCTTTTTTAAATTTAAATTAGAAACAAAGAGAAGTGCTAGTGTGTTATTATGTAAAATTTCTTCACTCATATTATGATAAATTTTTTTCTCTGAAAGTTTTTAAAAATTTACTTTAAAAAAATGTGCATTGGTGTTTTGCTTGCCTTCCTGCATGAGGGTGTCAGATCCCCTGGATCTGGAGTTACAGACAGTTGTGAGCTGCCATGTGGATGCTGAGAATTGAACCTAGGTCCTCTCTGGGAGAGTAGTCAGTGTTCTTCACCATTGAGCCTTCTCTCTGGTCCTTCTCTGAAATATATTTTTTTGATATATAAATTTTTCTTTTCTTTTTTTATTTAGAAACAATCATTTTACATATCAATCTCCCTGTTCCCTCTCCCTCCCATCCTCTCATGTCCCCCTCTGAAATATTTTTAACATTCTTTTATCTGTCTATATATTGTATGTAAATATAGACTATCTTATCACAAAGTACTGGGTTAAGATTCATGAACATCTGTATTTTTCTCTACTCTTTTTTTTTTTTTTTTAAAGTTTTATTTATCATGTATACAGTGCATGCCAGAAGAGGGCACCAGATCACATTACAGATGGTTGTGAGCCACCATGTGGTTGCTGGGAATTGAACTCAGAACCTCTGGAAGAGCAGTCAATGCTCTTAACTACTGAGCCATCTCTCCAGCCCTTTTTCTCTACTCTTATTGTCTCATCAAGTACAAGTGATTGCTGTACTTGAGACTTTTAGTTTTTTGATTATGTATGTATGTATGTATGTATGTATGTATGTTTGGTTTTTTGAGACAGGTTTTCTCTGTGTAGCTTAGGAACCTATCCTGGCACTCGCTCTGGAGACCAGGCTGGCCTTGAACTCACAGAGATCTGCCTGCATCTGCCTCCCAAGTGCTGGGATTAAAGGCGTGGGCCACCAACGCCCGGCTCAGGCCCTCTTTTTTGAATTGAAAATTCACACAATATTTTGATCATGGTTTCCCCTCCTCCATCTTTCAGATCCTCCTCTACCTCTTCACCTATCCAACTCAATGCCTTCGTTATTTCTTTCTTTAGAAAACAAACAAGTGGCCGGGCGTTGGTGATGCATGCCTTTAATCCCAGCACTCGGGAGGCAGAGGCAGGTGGATCTCTGTGAGTTTGAGGCCAGCCTGGTCTACAGAGTGAGTGCCAGGATAAGCTTCAAAGCTACACAGAAACCCTGTCTCGAACTCCCCCCCCCAAAAAAAAAATAAAAAGAAAACAAACAAGCAAATGAAAAAACAAGTTAGATTAAAACAATGACAACAATAACAAAAGCACAGGGAACACACACACACACACACACACACACACACACACACACACACCCCCATAAAAACACGAAGTCACTGTTGTAGAGTGCAGGGTTGTAGCTGAGTTGTTGGTTACCTTTATCTTCTGGTAGCATGGAGAGTAACTTCCATGAACACCAGTCAGTAGGGGTGGAGACTCTAGTTAGGCACCAGCTGTACTTTTCTGTGTTCAGTTATCAGGCCTCTTCTGGAAATAACATTTACTTTAATTAAAAAATTAAAACAATTGTTTGTATGTGTGTGTGTGCACTTGCACATGGACATAATACAGCATATTTGAAGGTCAGAGGAAAACTTGTGGTAGTTAGTGTCTTTTCTACCCTTATTCTAAGTAAAATAAGAGCAGCTTTTGCAGTTTGAGGTCACACTTCATGGCTAGAAGATTTGCTCTTACTGTAGATCTCTTGGGCTACTTCAGCATACTTTTTTCTTAAAGAAGGCACTTTTATGGGTTCTCTTTGTGTCCAGATCACCAGCATTGCCTGTCTTGGGCTTTGGAGACCATTAAAGGTTACTTTTGAACACGAGCACTGGGACACAAGCATGTTAATGTCTGTCTGCTAAAACTGACAGCTGTTGCTGCCTGTGATACTGCATGTGATGCTGCACACCTTTAATCCTAGCACTCAGGAGGCAGAGCCAAGCAGATCTCACATGTGAGTTCAAAGTCAGCCTGGCTACAATGAGTTTCAGGACAGCCAGGGTTGTATAGATAGACCCTGTCTCAAAAATCCAAATCAAATCAAACCAAAGCCAAAAGAACAACAAAAACCTGACAGCTATTAAATGACTAGGATGATAATATATACATATATATGTGTGTATGTATAGTAAATATATGATATAGCCTTGTATGTATTATATATATGTGTGTGTGTATACATACATACATACATACATACATACATACATACCTCAGGACAAATCATCATGATTATTCTTAATGAAATGTTTATTTTTGCCCTAACTGGATGGAGTGATTCACAATTTAAAAATGTGTTAATTAGTGTGTGTGGACTATGTTTGATGGTGAGTAACTGAAACTTGGGGTAAGCAGAGGTATATAGTATTCAGTGTGTGTATTACACATATGTGGGTTCTTTTTACTGAACAGTTGAAACAAAATGCTTTGTGTTTTATTTTGTCTTGGTTTTCCCCAGATACATCAAACTACAGAATGGCTTGCAGGCACTTTTGATTTCAGATCTAAGTAATATGGAGGGTAAAACAGGAATTGCAACAGATGAAGATGAAGAGGAAGATGACGATGAAGACTCTGGAGCTGAGATAGAGGACGATGAAGAAGGTTTTGATGATGAAGATGAATTTGATGATGATGAACATGATGATGATCTTGATAATGAGGAAAACGAACTGGAAGAACTGGACGAGAGGGTAGAAGGGAGGAAGAAAACCACTGAGAAACAGGTGTGAGTCATGTCTATATCGTCTTTCTCATTTGGGAACTCCTTGGGGTAATGATTGAACTTGGGGTTTATTTCTTAGTAGCTAAAAGGAAGTATACAGCTATCTTTTGAATTTTTTTTTTTTTTTTTTTTTTTTTAGCAAGGGTTTAGTCTATATAAAAGTTATATTTTGAATGCAGTTTACTCTGGTCATAAAAGTAATAAATGCTTACTATAGAGAGTAAAGAAAACAAAAAATGTAAAACCCACTCATTAAAGGCAAAAATGGCAATATTTGAGTTTATATGTATTTATGTACATTATATGTTTTAAAAATTGTCAGGAGGTGAGAACCTGTACAATTCTTAGCTGAAGATAGAGGAATAAGAGAGTATACCATCCTTGGAGAGACTTGAGAAAGGAGAACAAGGCTAATGGTGTAACATCTTCACCTGGCCTCAGAGTTCTAAGTTACCCTGTGGGTAATTCCAGTGTAGGTAATTGAAGTTGATCTCACCTATGAGAAAGTGTCAATAATTGGAATTAATAAGTACATCAGGACAGTTTAAGTGAGAGAGTTGAACTTAGGGTTCGTATGTGGGTCTTGATAGGGAGATTGTCCTTAACATATCTCTTGAAGAATGCATCTATTTTGCAGAAGGGAATTCTATTACAGGGTAGGTAACATTTTGGAGATATTATAGTAGAACTGACCAGCAAATGTTTGTTAAAGTTAGTTTCTTGGGTTTTTGTTTGTTTTGTTTTGTTTTGTTTGTTTGTTTTGAGATACAGTGTGATGTAGTCCAGGCTGGCTTTGAACTCTGTGTAGATGGAATGACTTTGAACTCCTGATCCTCTAGAGCAGTGGTTCTCAACCTTCCTAATGCTGCTACCCTTTAATACAGTTCCTCATGCCCCCAGCCATAAAACTATTTCATTGCTACATCATAACTGTAATTTTGCTACTGTCATAAATTGTAATGTAAGTATTTTTGGAGATAGTGGTTTGATAAAGGGGTCACTGCTTAGAAGTTAAGAATCACTGCTCTAGACACTACTTCCCAAGTGCTGGGATTGCAAACATGCAGCATCATGCTCTGCTTAAAGTTGACTGTCAATACAACAGCATGGTATAGTCTTAATGTACAGGATTTATAGTTAGATTATTAGTTTAGATCTCAAAAAATACATAAAAGGTGTCAACCCATGGGACTGGAAAGATAGCATAGTGGGTAGAGGTGATTGCTATGCAAGTTTGATGACCTGAATCTGATCTTTGGAAGTCACAGAACAGAGGAGGGATCCAATGTCTGAAAGTTCTCAGACCTGCATATTCATATGCACACTTGTACTCGATGTACACCATACATACACACATCATTATCATCATCAGTCATCAACAAGATTCAGTTCCTAGTTTTTAAAAAAAGTGTTTAACCCCAAAGATTTGGACATGTAAGTTTTAAGTAGAAATGACTGTTGTTGGTGGTGTTTTGAGTCAGTTCTTGTTATTTAACTTAGGTTAGTCTTGAATGCTCTACCTTCTTGCTTCAGCCTCCTGAGTGCTAGAATTTCAGAGTACTATGATCATAGATAAGCTATATCATGCCTATGTGCCCTTCATCCCCTTCTTGAGATGGGAGTTTATTACTTAATGGTTCAGGCTGGTCTCAAACTCTTAGGTTAAAGTGGTACTGCCAGTAGCTGGGACTATAGACATGTTCCACTGCTCTTGGCTTTAATAATTCTCTTAAATTAATTCTTTGAGTGTCCCTCCACCTCCTCCTCTTCTTTTTTCCAAGTTTTTTGAGACAAGAGTCTTACTATGTAGCCCTGGCAGGCCTGGAACTTGCTAAGTAGATAAGACAGGCCTCAAACTCACAAACACCTGCCTCTGGCTCCAGAGTGCTGGGATTAAAGGCATGCACCACTACTCCCTGCTCCATTTTTTTTGTTTTGTTTTTTTTTTTTTTAGAAGAATTTTTCTTTAAGATTTTATTTATTATGTATACAGTGTTTTGCCTGAAAGTGTACCTGTGGGGCTGAAGAGGGTGCCAGATCTCATTATAGATTGTTGTGAGTCACCATGTGGGTGCTGGGAATTGAACTCAGGACCCCTGGAAGAGCAGCCAGTACTCTTGACCTCTGAGCTATTTCTCCAGCCCTGAGTTAAGTTTTTAAGAAGCTTTTTTTGTGTGTGTTGTATTGTAGGCCAAGTTGTGTTAGCTTGGAGAACTTCAGAGGTGAAACTCAAAACACTGAATAAATTTGTATATATCCCACTTGGTAGACTATTTTAAAGTTTTTATAGGCAAATTTGGAATTAATATTTCTAATTCTTAATAGAGTAGTAGTAGAATGGAGAAATTATAACCAAAATGGAGTTGTAGCCTAGGTCTGTCCCTGGTATCTTGGGTGTTCTTACACTGACTTTCTTCCTCTTGCACCCACTCTTAAGTTCACACGGTTTTTGAGCTCTATTTTAGCTCCCCAAATAATAGTATATTATTAATCTTAGATCCTTACCTCTGAGTTTCTGTACCTGTCTTTCTGTTAATCACAAGTAACTTCCCCTATGCTTTGGACTTTTTTGATAAGCGGTTAGGTTTGAAGAGATCAGATCATTTTGGTTCTGAAGCAGTGGGTGTCCTAGTGGAAGAAAAGATTCCATGATTAATAGCAGTGGGAGACGATTTCTAACTTAGTGGTACATAAACATCTGAAGGAAAAATGAACAAGTTTAGGTGAGAGGTGGCTTGAGAATTGCATAGATTCTGAAGTGATTTTAGGATTTAATTTTTATTTGAGAAATGTGAGCCTTATAAATGGGAAGAAAAAAAAAACTGTTAGCTTTTAGAGAACCTTATCTAATTAAAGTTAATTCCTTTCCTGAAGATTTTTTTTTCTAAGTGTCCCCATTTCTGTCCTTCAAAAAGAAGTTTTTCTTGATCTGAAAAGTTAATAAATTAACACGATTGAAGTTTAAGTATGATATATTTGAATTATGATTTCATAATTTTGAGTTTTATAACTCAATTCTCAAGTATAAATTTCTTGGGTAGAAAATTCTCAAGTCTGAATTTCTTTTCTAGCAATCGCAGAACCTGTATTTGCTGTGGTCAAAGCTGACTGATAGACTGTGGTTTAAGTCAACTTATTCAAAAATGTCTTCAACCCTGCTGGTCGAGACAAGAAATCTTTATGGGGTAGTTGGAGCTGAAAGCAGGTTAGGCATCTATTAAACATCACAGAACAGGTTAGACTGTGGTTTGAAGAAGTGGACATCCTTCCATGTTCTCTATGGGCTTATGTGCCTAAGTCTGCAAAAATAGGACTTGAAGTATCAAGTGAGGCTGTTTGGTTCTTCTAAAATTGCAAGGTTGGCTTTATGCCAAGTACATGCTATCTTTAAAAGGGATAACCCTATCAAACAATGCTTCACCAAATGGATGAGTTCCGAAAATTGATACAAAGTTGGGAAAGTTAATATTTACTTTCCTATTTTCAAATTGACTATTTCTTCTACTTAAAAATCTTTTAACTAATGATGATAGTATGTCAAAATCATTTGAAACAGAGTCTTGTGTACATCTTGGCCATCTATTTTGTTAAAAATTAATTTTCCCCAGGAATTTGGCAAATACTTATTGATAAGAAATATATGATATATATGTGTGTATTCAATACAAAGTGAAGAACTAAAAAGCCTCTTTAAATCCTATTCCTGTAGCTTTTTAATAACAAAAATTTTCTCTTTTAACCATTTACTTACTTTTTATTAGATATTTTTCTAAATTGTTATTTTATCCCTCATCCTGTTTTAGTAGTAAAACCTTCTAAGTAACATACTGAGAAGTTTCACATTTTGTAACTGAGTTTCTGAACGTAGAAGTTTTAAATTGCTTAGAGCTCTTTATTCTACCTAGATATGTTAGTTCTTCAGATTTCCAAAATCTAGTAACTCAGGGAACAAACTTGGTTCAGAGTTCTGACTCAGCAATATGAAATGATGTCTCGGTGGCTGGCCTCTCCCTTGTCTCTGTCTGTTTCTGCTTTTTCCCTTAGGTCTGCACCTCTTGAGCATTTGGCAGGATGGCAAGTGGAGGAGCAGCAGGGTGAAACTGACACAGTTCTGGTGAGTTTCACTTTGCTGCTCCTCCTGATTCCCAGGGAAAGAATTCTGTTCTTTTCTGTTAGAAAACTTCTCCGAATGAACCCTTAAGGTACTAGTATTGCTTTAGGATTGACTCTACTATTTGTATGTGTTCTACTTACCCCAGTCTGCAGCGGCTCTGTGTGTTGGAGTTGGGAGCTTTGCTGATCCAGATGACCTGCCTGGGCTGGCACACTTTTTGGAGCACAGTAAGATCTTGTAAAATATCATTCCCGGGTGTGGTTTTCCTTTTCCCTTTAAATTTGTATGAATTGATTTCAGAGATTAGTAATTAGCTGAAGTACATTTAAACAAAGAAAAAGCTAAGAAGAAAATATTGATTTAGGAATAAACATAGGGAAAGACTTTCCATCTAATTATACTTATAGTAAAGATTTGAATGAAAACGGTATCTTCCTCAGCCTGTACTTTATTTGTTGACGTAGGGTCTCTCAGTAAAACCCAGAGCTTGCTGATACTGCTAGTCTCCCTAGCCAGCTTGCTCTGGGGAGCCTCTATCTCTGCCTTCTGAAATGAATTACCAGGGGGCTGCCACACCCACCTGCCATTTTACATAGTTTCCAGGGTTTGAATCCCAGATCTCACATTTGTTCAGCAAGTATTTTAACCTCTGAGCCATCTTCCCAACCCCAAGCCTGTTTTTACTGTAGGCATCATTATTTGGCAATGGTACAGTGAACAGAGCAAGAGACAGTTGCCGTTCTCTAGGAATTGGCTAGCTCTGGTGGAATAGTCTATTTCAATGTTAATAGTAGCCAGTGACATCAGAGCATTGAAAATACAAACAATAAAATGTCATGATTAATATACCACAAAAAAGAACCATATGTTTAGCTACGAGTATGCCTCAATAAAACTGTGGACATTACACAGCTACAGCTGTTTACACACAACACAGACTTGCTTTTCTGCATTAGTCATCTTGTGTTTTTAGTTTCTAAGCTATTTGAAAGTAAACTTCTTACCTGACATCCTTTGTGGTAGTGGTTAATCTGCACATAAGCATATGTTTAACCTTTAACCTTTTTTTATATAAGCAAATTTTTAAGAAATGTTTGGGTTTTCTTGGAATGGAAATAACATGAGCTTTGTAGAATGTTGCAGTGTCCGTGTAGCAAAGTGTCAGACAGAGCCATTGTTAATGTGTTGCTTTATCTTTTTTCCTATTTTTTCATTGCTTTATCTTTTATGCATAGAAGAGTTCATTTTTGATAATAAAAAATGTTGTCTATTTCTTTGTGTAACTTCTTATTCTTTTCATTTAGTGGTATTCATGGGTAGTTTGAAATACCCAGATGAGAATGGATTTGATGCCTTCCTCAAGAAACATGGAGGTAGTGATAATGCCTCAACTGATTGTGAACGAACAGTCTTTCAGTTTGATGTCCAGAGAAAGTACTTCAAGGAAGCCCTGGATAGGTAACTATTATTTAATAACAATTTATAAATGGAAATATTGGACATGTTCTATGGTATTTTCAAGAAGTGATCTAGTTCTCTAAACTGTCAGAATATTTGAGGAAACCGAATAAATTATTAAATGTTCTTTTTTTTTTTTCTTTGAGACGAGGTCTCACTGTATATGAATAGCTGTCTTGAAACTCACTGTGTACATTGGGCTGGGCTTTAAACTCACAGAGATGTATCTACTTTTTGCCTCCCGATTAGAGGCATGTGCCACCACTCCTGTCTCCACGTCAGTTTTGAACTCAGGAACCTGCAGCTCAGTGGTTTGGCTAGACTGTTTGGCCAGCAAACCCCAGGGATCCTCCCGTCTCTGCTTTGCTAGTGCTGAGATTACAGTTGTGTGGCTCCATGCCAGGCTTTTATGTAGCTGCTGGGATTGAACTCAGGCCTTCATTCTTCTGTGATAAGCACTCTAGTGATTGTACTGTCTTCCCAGCTCCTCCTCACATTATTTTTTAAAGATTCATCGTGTGTGTGTGTGTGTGTGTGTGTGTGTGTGTGTGTGTGTGTGTGTGTCCCCACACATATCACAAGGGGTGTCAGATCCTTAGCAGTTGGAGTTACTTGTGAGTTACCTGCTGTGGGTTCTGGGATCCAAACTCTGGTCCTTTGATAGAACAGTAAGTTCTCTTAACCACTGAGCAACCTCTTCAGCTCCCTCATTTTTCTCTACACTAGCAATGAACAGTTCATAAGTGAAATTAAGAACATATCTTCTTTAATAATGGCATCTTAAAGAATAAAATACTTCAGAATAAACTTAGAAAGACTTGTGGCAGTGGCAAGTCAAAAAATAAGTGATAAGTAATGAGTGGATGATAAACTATGCCATGAGCCTGAGGCTTTGCTGTTGTTGTTTTTATTTTATGTGCATTGGTGTTTTGCCTACTTGTATATCTGTATGAATGTGTCAGATCCACTAGAACCTGAGTTACGGACAGTGGTGAACTGCCATGTGGGTGCTGGGAATTAAACCTGGATCCTCTGGAAGAGCAGCCAGTGCTTACAACTGCTGAGCTGTCTCTCCAACCGGAGACTTGGTATTGTTAAGAATGGGAGCAGAACATCTTATTGTTAAGAATGGCAATAATTTCCAAACTGATGTATGGATTCATCCCTTCAAAATTTAACTGCTGCTATAGAGAAATCAGTGAGCTGATCTTAAAATTCATATGGAAAAAGCAAAAATAGCCCAAGTTATATTTAAGAACAAGTTGGACTTTCATTTCTCCAAGACTTAGAGCTGTAAAAATCCCAATAATATGGGTCTGACATAAGAATAGACACTGCTCAATGGACTAGAACTGGGACTCTAGAAATAAACCAACACACTTGCTGCCAGGAGTAGAGTGCCAGGACAACTTAGTAGGAAAAAAAAGATTTTTTTGTAACTGTGCCAGAACAACTCAATGTCCACATGCAAAAGAATGAACCAAAATTCTTTATTCAACTGTTTACAAAATTTAATTCTAATTTTGTTCTCACGGACTTAAATGTGAGAACAAAAATAACGAAACTTTGAAGAAATGTCAGTCTTTGTGACCTTATTATGTTTGGTGATAGTTAGGCAAAGAGACAGATATAATAATAAATCACAAAAGTAGAAAACATATATGTGAACATTTAGACAGAGACACTATGAGAAAGTAGTGAAAGGGCTTTTTAATAAAATGATTCCAAGACAATTGAGTGTCCATGAAAATAGGAATAAAACTGACTCCTTAACTCAAAAACACACAAGAAATGTTCTGGGTCGATTGTAGACTAAAAAGTGCACAAAGCAGCTATTTTTTAAAGCCACAATTTAGGTAATAAGATTAACAAACAAACAACCAAAGAGCATACAGGAAATAGTATATTATATTGATGAAAAGAAACTGGAGAGGTGAGGACTTGGCTCAGCAATAACAAGGCTCTGGTTTGATCCCTCAGCAACATTCTCTGTTGGTAAACAAAACAAAACAAAAAACCCACAAAGCAAATAAAAAGTATGGGAGACTATATTTTCGATGGATAACTAACAAAGGACCTATATTTTAAATAGTTACTGATTTTTAATTTATTAGATTTTTGTATATAAGTATTCAGTGTGGTTTAAATTGATATATAAAACATAATATTATTAGATGTATTGTTATAATTAAAAAATACAATCTAAGGGCTGGAGAGATGGCTCAGAGATTAAGAGCACTGACTGCTCTTCCAGAGGTCCTGAGTTCAATTCCCAGCAACCACATGGTGGCTCACAACCATCTATAATGAGATCTGGTGCCCTCTTCTGGTGTGCAGATATACATGGAAGCAGAATGTTGCATACATAATAAATAAATAAATAAATAAATAAATAAATTCTTAAAAAATACATCTATTCAAAAAGAGATTTGAATATTTAAAAACTAAATTCCTGATATAACTATATAAAATGGTGTTCATTTTATTAGAAATTCCTTACTAGAAATCAGGGAAATATAAATCAAAGCTGTGAGATTTAACTATCTCAAAAATTACAGAACAATTTAAACTCTGATATTATGAGAGGAAAGTAAGGCTGTAGAGGAGTGGTGGGATCAGAACCAATGGTACTGCTATGTCAAGAAAATTGGCTATTATTTGGTAATGTATGTGTGTGCTATTCCTTTGTAGTTCTTTCCCAGCTGGTACCTAGAGAAACTTCTGCATATGACTCAACACACAGTACAGAAAAACTAACTTATGGTAGCAGTGTTTGTAGTACTCTGGTTCTGAAGCCTACATATCTGTCAGTAGTGGTGGAGTGGTGGAGTAGATTCATAAATTCATTCCGGTGAATACTATAACAATAGTGATAATAAACTACAGTCATATTTGCCCATATTTGCCATAGGGCAAACTATCATAACATTGAATTGAACAATGCACAATTATGTACTATATATTTACAGCTATATAAAGTTCAGGAACAAAATAGTTTTGCTTAAAACATTCACTCTCAATGGAAGTGATGGTATTTGTTCCCTTTGGTGGAAAAAAACAAAAGTAGTTGAGAAGTTAAAAAAGATTAGTGCTGGGCTGTGGTGGTGCACTCCTTTAATCCCAATCCTCAGGAGGCAGAGGGAGGCAGTGACAGGAGAATCTCTACACAGAGAAACCCTGTCTTGAAAAATAAAAATTACATTAAAATATATATTTGTTCATTTGTGGTCCTGCTACATTGAATCCCATGTGCTAAAAGTTTTCACTTTATTTTTAATTTTTCTCTGTGTTTAATTTTCTTGTGTGTCAAGTGATCACCATTTAATCCAACATTGGATCATAGGGGTATACATGTGCAGGATTAGTGCTGTGAACCTGATGTGAGCTATTGGTTGCCTGTGTTGCTTAAGTTTTGCTTGAAGTATTTTCTTGTGACTTTGCTTTTTTAGAACTAAGTAAAACCATTTCCTGTTTTATTCAAGTTATACTATTAGGAAGAATGTGAATGTCTTAATGAATATGTAGAAACCAGAGCAAAGTTACATAACAAAAAATTCAGGAAGTTAGTCTTTCAATTGTTTTATCTTTCCTGGACAAAGAGCAGTTTGGGGAAGGGTGCAGTGGCACCCATCTGTGTAATCTCAACTACTCAGAAGGCTGAAACAAAAGAGTCATTTGAATTCAGGAGTTCAAGGCCAGATCAGGTAACATAGTGAGATCCTCGACTTAAAAAAATGAAACAAAAATAGTCAGGTATGATGACTTAGACCTGTATTCCTAGCACTTGGTAAACTGAGGCAGGAGGATTGCCACAGTACAAGGCCAAGCTGGGCTGTAGTGTGAGACTCTGTCTCAACAAGCAAATAGTTTTTAATGCTTTAACAAAAACAATGTCAATTATATTATTATACATTTATGTAAATGACATTTACATGTGTAATTTGTGTATTTGATGTTCATCTATAATATATATATAATATATATTAAATAAATATATTAAGAAAACCAAGGCCATCGAGATGGCTCAATGGGTAAAAGTGTCTGTTACTCAAGTCTAATTACCTTAGCTCAATGCTTAGATCCAATCTGAAAAAAAATGAGATGTGTTTGCAAGCATCTGTAATCCTAGCACTCCAAGGGAGAGGTGGGAGTTGAGCCATCCATGCTTTGGAAGCTCCAGCCTGGAGTGTGCAGCACCTCAGAAACAGCCAGAGAGACCTGCCTTGACAGGATAGATGACTGAAAGTTGTCCTCTGAGTCATACTCATTCATATTCTCTCTGTCTCTGTCTCTGCCTCTCACATACATAAACACAAACACACACACAAATAATAAAAAATACCAGCACAGTTCTGTGGTGAGCTTAAGTATCAGTAGCCTTTAAATTTTTGATTTTTAAAGTCTGGAGAGTTAGCTCAGTGGTTAAGAGCACTTGTTACTCTTGCAGAGGACCTGGGTTGGATTCCTAGCAACCACACAGTGGCTTACAAATATTTGTAACTAGAGTTCCAGGGGATCCAACTCTCTTCTGACCTCTGTAGGTACCAGGTACACACGTGGTGCATAAACATGCCATGTAAATCTAAATAAAACTAAAATTCTAATTTTTTTGAAATATAAAGTATCATTTATAACACTATTAAATGAATAGAGTGAATTTTGTTTACTTAGTGTACAAAAGTGTGGATTTGGTATAAAGATTGTGTATTAGAGAGAGCTGGGGGTGTTGGATATCTGTAATTTCAGCTAGGGGAGGCTGAGGCAGGAGGGTGGGGAGTTAGAGGCCAGCCTGGGCAACATAGCAGTATTTAGTGTAACATGGAGCTATAGCTCAGTAGCAGAGTGCTTTCTTAGCATGTGGTCCTTGGCACTGGGATATGGAATGGGACATTTCTGAAAAGATTTTAATCTGTGTATTTATGTCCTAAGTACTTTCTGAGTGAATGCTTTATTTTATAAAGAAGCAAAGAGGTTTTAGACTTTAAAATATAGAACCATACATCATCATCATCATCATCATTATTATTATTGTTATTGTTATGTTATTATTATTATTATTATTTTGATCTTGTAGGTTTTGAGATAATTCTCGAATTGAGTAAAAATAGTTAATGAAAATGGATGTTTAATGAAACTGAACAATCTTAGAAATACCTATTTTACTTTTCAGATGGGCCCAGTTTTTCATCCACCCACTAATGATCAGAGATGCAATTGACCGGGAGGTTGAAGCTGTTGACAGTGGTAAAGAAACTTTTTATGTTTTGTAACCATTTGTTTCTTTTATTCAAACTGACTGTTACAATGAATCTATTCCGGGTTCCTGCCTTTATCATAGCTGCAAAGCCCCTGTTACCATGAAGCTAATGTATTGGCACATGTCAAAGATTTGGGGATGGGCTCTCCTCCAGGCCTTTCCTGCACTGCTGCATGCATGTGCACGTGCACACCTCAGCCAAGATGTAATTATTTTTCTTAGGTTACAGCCACACTTTCATATTGTCATAGACTTAAGAAAAATACTGTCTTCAGAGTACAATGTATTTTTAGTGTATCACCTTTATAATTTATAACTAACATATATTCTTGAATGCTGGCTTCTGCTAATGTTTCTATTTTTTCTAGTTTCTTACCAGCTGTAACAGTTGTGCCTGGTAAGCCTTCCTGGCTTTCCTCTTAGTTCTCATCAGCCAGTTATACACATTGGCATAAAGAATGGATTGTGTTAAAATGCAAATCTAATAGTGTCCTATCTCCCATTCCCTGTCAAATTTCTGGAGTGCTTGATTCCTTGATAACTAATAATTAGCATCTCTTGAGTACTTCTTTGCATTATTGTCCTTGTTGAAACTAGGCTTAGAGAGTTTGATAACACAGAGTCAGTGGTTTCCCCAGATATCAGTAGTCTCTTATGACTATATGGTCAAAAGCTATACCCATGTGATCTTTTGTCTTCCTTTTAATTCTCAATTTTATTTAATCATATTGACTTGTCTCTTTATCAGAGGTGCCATATTCTCCTTTCTCCCTTAGAATGTTTTGTTCATCCCCAGTTATCCTTCCCTTTCTATACTCAGAAAAATCTCACACATCCTTTAAGCTCAGCTTGAGTTTCTTAAGAAGTCTTTCTTTACAGTATCCATCACTAACACAAACATATTTGTTGTTTATTGTTTATCTCCCCTATGACAATATAAACTTAGTACAGGGCTTTTATTCACATTTCTGCTTCCAACTTTTTTTTTTTATTGTGGCTGATGAACAGTAGGTGTTCTGAAATATTTTTTTGAAAGACTATATCTTATCTAAGAGTCATATGCTCTTGGTCATGTTAGGTCCCTTTATGGAATCAGGAAAGTTAGATAACTTGCTCAGAGTTGTCCAAGTTCAGTGATACAGCTGGGACTGTGGCTGTCTTAGTCTGTCTGGGCTACCTTAATACAACACCGTGGGCTGAGGGCTTACAGAAAGCAGTACCTTCCCATTGTAGAGGCTAAGGAGTTGAGTATGAAAGCACAAGCAGATGTAGTGTCTGTGAAGGGGCTACTTCATAATTTGCAGACTGCCACCTTTACCTTATGTCCTTACATAGTCCTAGGAGAAGGGCAGGGGAGCTCTCTGGGGTCGCTTTGTCATTTTGGTTTTGAGCCTTCAATGGCTGAGCCATCTCTCCAGAGTTGGGATCACTTTTATACATACACTCATTTTATTCATGAGGGCCCATGACCTAAACACTCTTAACATTCCCATCTTTGAAAGCTGTCACATTAGAGATCGGGTTTTAGCATATGAATTTTAGGTTGATAAAAACATTGAAACTATAACATTAGAAAGGATACTTGTGACTTTAAAGTAATTGTTCTTAACCATCATACTTTATCAGTTTAGTTTCTTTGATGTTATTTAAGCAAAATATATGACTAAGGTCTCAGCTCTGAAGACTGATAGAGCATTTTATTACTGCTTTCCTCAGGGAATTCTTAGATATAACAATCTATCTAGATCAGAACCATTCAGATCATTTCTTCATTTGAAAATAAGAGAAAAACTCTAGAAAGGTGATCAGTTTACTCAGAATGATAGATTAAATGATAGGACCAAGTTTAGGTTGTTGAGTTACCAACTTCAGTTTTATATTTTTAAAGTTTATCTTATTACTACCTTGCTTTCAGTTCTATAAGCTTGAATTTCCAGACAATCAAGAAAATAATGAAATTTCATTTTATTATAAATGTTTATTTAAAACTGACAGAATATCAGCTTGCAAGACCTTCTGATGCAAACAGAAAAGAAATGTTATTTGGAAGCCTCGCTAGACCTGGACATCCTATGGGGAAATTTTTCTGGGGTAAGATAACTATAATTTCTCAGTAAGAAAAAATGAGAATAATACAAACTGATAAAGAGAGTTAGAAATGTTAGTAGAGTGCTTGCCTAGAAAGCACAAAGCCCTGGATTTGATCCCCAGAACTGCATAAAATTAGGTGTGATGAGTGCATTCTTGTTATTCCTCAGGGAGGTAGAGGCAGGAGGATCAGAAGTTCATTGTCATCTTCAACCTCCAGGCCAGCCTGGGATATATGAGACTGTGTCATAAAGAAGCAAGTACAATAACAAAATGAAACAAAACCTATACACCCAAACTCCCCAAAACAGAAGAAAGATTAATAAGCTGGGATAGCTAAATGCTTTTACCTTCCAAGAGGGTAGCTAGAAAACTTAAAATAGCAAGGTGTGAGCATGCTTGTGCTTGCTTCTTTAACACTGGGTGTTGTTAGAATAAATTGGATGGTCTGGGAGTGTTGTCCAGGTGCCAGATACTTTGCTAGCTATGTATGCATTATATGTTTGTTCATGTCACAGTTTTAAGAGATAGGTATCATTATAAATCTTCATTTAAAGAGAAACATTCTCAGGAGTTGTGTAATTTGCTTAGTCACACAGGTGGTAAATATTTGATGGGGGCTTGAGTATCTGTTTATCTGATTGTAAAGCCTGTACCCCAACCTGATGTTTCCATTTATCAACAGACACTCAGGAATGGTTTCTCTAATAGTTTTTGAGCTGTGACCTAATTTTGTTTAACTGGTAAGCTGTTGAACTGGTATCTGTTTTTCATAATGGCCTTTTATTGTTGGTAGAAATCAGTTGTAACCTATTAATCCTGTCATAGCATGGAGACTGGGATGAATTGATCTAATCAAAGGCTATTTTATTATATGTTCCTGTATCTGTTGGGTAACTTTGGCATCCTGGCTTTTTATATTTTATTCTTAAGAATTAGGTAGAATATTAGTACAATAATTTAGAGGGGAAAACCTAAATCAACACTATACTATTAAGCAAGGAATTTAGGCAATTATTGTCTGTTGTTGAATTTTTCCCAACCATTGATTAATTCCTATGTATTTATTTCAGAACTGATTCTTGGCTTATAATTATATACCAGCTCAGAATTCTTGAGTTACTTGGGTAATTTCCTAGGCCTTTTAGGCTTGTAGAACATTCATTGTTGGGGTAGAAGACCTTTAACAAAGTACATTTAGTTACTTCTATAATTTTTATTTTTTTGTCTTTTTACAGGAAATGCTGAGACACTCAAGCATGAACCAAAGAAGAATAACATTGACACACACGCTAGACTGAGAGAATTCTGGATGCATTACTACTCTGCCCATTACATGACCTTAGTTGTTCAGTCCAAAGGTAGTTAGTTATCTGTTATGTCCTTATAGTTACTCTGAGTTAGCAGGGCTTGAATTGCATTTTATTTTTGAAGGTTTGTGGCATTTTGTAAAAACTTGCAGATGAAACACACAGCCTAGAAATGTCAAAAATAAACAACCCAACATAAACATGCAACACGAGTTCTAATTGATTTTAATAATAAAAAAGTCAGATATTAGGGGGTGAAAGCTGAAAGATCAGAGAAGCAGAGCAGCCAGCCACTAGAGCTCTTACCTCTACAAAATCCTTAGACTGAAAAGAGACCAAATTCCTGTCTCCTCCCACCTATATTCCTCTTTTGGCCCAGTCTTATCACTTCCTGTCTGTCTATACAGATCTCCAGGCCTCTACGGTTAACTAGTGGCTAGCTCCACCCTATGATCTTCAGGCAAACTTTATTTGCTAGAGTATAAGCAAGATATCACTATATAATGATATGTCATGGATGCATAAAATACATAGATAATAGTTATTATTTACTACCATAAAATATACCCAAATCTATAAAAAGATAAAATTATTCTAAACTTGGGTAAATACACTGCATTATTTACAGCCAAAAGAAATGTAAACAGATGTTAAGATGTGGTATTAAAGCATGACTACATGAAATTAGTTAGTTACTACTGGAATAGTTTTTTATTTACCTCCACTGTTGATGTGATGGTGACCAATGTTGTGGTGTCTGCATAAAGCACTGATGATTGTGTTCGAGTAGACAGTTACCTTCTCTAGTAAACTGTATTGTAGTTTTTTGTTTTGTTATTTTTTTTTTTAAAGAAAGGTCTCATGGTGCTTACAGAGTTTTCACTATATATAATATGTATGGAATTTAAAATATGTGTTAATTGGTTGCTTATGTTATTGATAATGCTTCTGCTAAGAGCTCACTGTTAGTGGTCAATTTTTGGGATATTCAAAAGTTTTATATCAGGGTTTAGAAAGATGATTCAGTAGGCAAATTGTTTGCCATTGTAAACATGATTACCTGAGTTCCCATGTAAAAAAGTCAAGCACCACTGTGTTGCTTGTAATGTGCTGGAGAAGCAGAGAAAGGCAGATCTCAGGGGTTGCTGCCCAGCCAGTGTAACTGAACTTGTAAGTTCCAGGTTCAGTGAGAGACGCTGTCTCAGAAATGAGATGTAGAACAATTGAGAAGGACACTTGGTATTGCTCTGGCTTCCGTGCATATAAACAGTGCATATGTATGAACATATGCACAAACACAGAGCATGCACATATTCCAATAGAGATGAGCTTATATGTGGGTTGTTCTTATTTTACTGCCCAAACATTTCTACATTGTTCAAGGGTCAGCTGTATTACTTTCATAGGATTTTTGTCTGAATCAGTATGACATGTTAGCTTCCCTATTGTTTGACATTAATTAACTGTGGCTAAATTGATGGTTCAGCAAAGAGAGTTTGCTGTGCTTTGTGTGGGCCAGACTTTGCTTCTCCTCATCCACGATGCATGCCTAACAACCTAACAACCACCTATAGCTATAGTGCCAGGAGATCTCACACCCTCTTCTGGCCTCTACCAGCACACACACACACACACACACACACACACACACACACCCCAAAATAAAATATTTTTTAAAATTTGAAGGAAATTAAATTTTGAACATGTTACAAAGTAATGGCAAAGTTCACAGAAATACAAGATCACCTCATACAAATTTTTTCTCATAGAAATAGGTTTATTTATAGGGTCTCATGCAGCCTTAACCTCCTGGGGTTTCAAGCATGTGCCACCATACCTAGCTTGGCTGTTGTGTTTTCTTTTCAGATGACTCTATTCGTGGTTTTATATTTAATCCTTAATGATTATAAACTTACAGGGCAGTTCTGTCACAATGATAGAAGTATCTTATGCATATGAGACTGAGCAATGCCTCTGCTCCTTTCCTCTTGTTCCTTTTCCTTTAGTGATTCATGTCAGTGTCTCATTTAAGGAGCTCAGTAGGTTTTTTTTTTTTTTTTTTTTTTTTTTTTTTTTTTTTGGGTTTTAACCATTTTAGACCTCTCAAAATCACTTGCTAAACCATCCCTTTTGACATTACTGTAATCTGCACATTCTTTTGAAGAACTGATCCTCTCCTGAATGATTCTCCTTCTTTTTAAAATTTTGCCCAAACCTCTTCAAAATAGAGTTCAAAGCTGATTATATGTGAAACATTTTTCCCATTTGATCCACAAATGTGATTCTAAGTTGATTTTTACATTGTTGTAACATACATTGCTATTTTTAGTATAGATTAATTTATAAGTTGTTGCAAATTGTTTCTTTGTATTCTTTTCCTGTTTTACATGATGATTAATATTACAGATTTTTTTTTGGGGGGGCGTTTCTCTGTGTAGCTTTGGAGCTGATCCTAGAACTCACTCTGTAGACCAGGCTGGCTTCAAACTCATAGAAATCCACCTGCTGCTTGGCTTCAGATTTTTGTTTGCCTTTGAGACAGGGTTTCTCTCTATAGCCCTGGTTGTCCTGAAGCAGACTGGGCTGGCCTCAAACCCAGAGATTCACTTGGAGGTCCTTAGCCTCCAAGTTTTACTGTAAATTTTTAAATAATCAATAGAATTTTGATGAAAATCACATGTAATCTAGATTAAATTGATTTTGAAGCTTTCTCCTTATATTATTTAAAAGTCAAATTTCTGGGTCTGGGGAGATGGATGATGGCTCAGTTAGTAAAGAGCTTGTTTCATAGGCTTGAGGGTCTGAGTTCGGATCCCTAGCACTCAAGTAAAATACAAGCACAGTGTCATGCACCTGTAATCCCAGCACAAGGGAGGCAGAGATGGGGGGATCCCTGGGCTTGCTGGCTAGCCAGTCTAGCTGAATTGGTAAGCTCCAGGTTCAGGGAGGCCATGTTGAATATGTTAAGGTAGGGGCTAGTGAGATGGCTCAGTGGCTTAAGATCCCAAATGTGAGTTCATTTTACAAAATCTATATGGTGAACCTTCACACACACAAAATAAATGTAATTAAAAGCCGTTTTTTGAAGGCAAGCAAAAAAAAAATCAGGTGGAGAACAATTAAGGAAGACACCAAATGTCAGCCTCTGGCCTCCATTTGTACCCCCACACACAGAGTCAAATGTTTACATAGAGCCAGTAAAATGGTTCAGCAGATTAAGGTACTTACTGCTCAGCCTGATTACCTGAGTTCAGTCCTTGGGACAAACATGGTAGAAGGAAAGAACCAATTCCTGCAAGTTGCCCTCTGACTTCTCATGCACAGTGGTACACCTGAATACACACACACACACACATGAACATGTTCGAAAAATAAATTTAACAAAAAAATTCAAATATCTGTGTAAGTAAAGATAGTCTAATTTGTCTTGATTAGTCTAATTTGCATGCATCTTTTTTCTCAACTTTAATTTCTTTGCAGTACTGGGAATTAAGGTCAGGGTATCACTCATGATAATCACATGATCTGCCACTGAGCAAAAACCTCGGGCTCATTTATTGAGAGTTACTGAAACTTATGTATCTGGTTGGAGCTAACACATACTATCCAGTCACTTAGATACATCTGAAAGGTTTTCTTTTCCAACTAGTGTTTTAATAGAAGTTTCAAAAGACTTCTTATTCAGTTTAGGAAAGGAATTGAAAGTTAGAAACCATGCATTATATTTGTTCCTTTTCTCATTGCTGTGACAAAAGCAACTTAGGGAAGACTTTTTTGGCGTGTGGAGGGTAGAATTCGCTGTAATGAGAGTGTGCGCCCGGTCTGCCTCACATCCTCCACAGACCTGGACACACAAAGGCACTTTGTTATTCAGTGTGGACCACTAGTTCATGGGACGGGGCCACCCACATTTGTGTAAGTTTTCCTAAGTTAGACCTCACCCACAGGCCCACAGGTGTGTTCTTTGAATCTAAATCCACCCAAGCTGACAATGAAGATTAACTGTGACGTACATATCTGAACGCCAAGAGTAGTTTTGGGAAAAGCCTCAGCAAATATAGTACAGTAAGAATGTATACAGTCAGGTGGAGCCTGGAAGCATTTGTAGGATGCCAAACAGAGAAGGGTTAGTCTGGGGAGAACAGAAACCTTCCCAAAAGATGTATTTAGAGTGGGTGCAGGAAGACAGTTGGTGTATTCATGCCTCTTGACTCTTCATGCTTGCCTAGTGGTAAACAAAAGTTTTTTGTGTTTTTAAACTCTGAGTCTAACAAAACTATGGGTGTCGTACAGTTTTTCTTATCTGTTGATATTCTTCCAGTCACTCGTGACTGGTTAACACCAGTGGTATTAGCCTAATTCAAATGTGTGTAAAAAAACAACCACCAGTGTGTTTACAGTTTCCTGCATTGACTAATGATATTGTATGTCCTTTCTCCTGTGCCTCTCTGCCTTATCCTTTTCAAGAAACCCTGGATACTTTGGAAAAGTGGGTGACGGAGATCTTCTCTCAGATACCAAACAAGTAAGTCACTATCTGTAAGTTACATTTCTCCACCATTAAGGAGCACACCTTTTTGTATGAGTCCCAAAGTTTTTTTTTCTCCTTTTTTCTTTTTTTTAAGGTTATAAAATTGAGACCTAAGGAAGTCTACTAGCTTAGTCAAGATTGTATAGCCTTTGAATAGAAAAGCTAAGACAGGAACCTGTTTCCACAATTTCCATAGTTCAAAAATTACATGCTTGTAATTTATAATAAGCAATAATTCTGAAGATTTTATGCTTCTTATTACATTTATTTCTCACTTTTCTGTTACCATCCAGGGCATTTGGAACTATAATAAGAGTTGAAAAGCATATCATGTACACCTACCTCTCCTAACGAATTTTGTTTTGAAAGGTTCCCCCCCTTTTTTTTGTCAGTTGTTTGCAATGTGGAATGGTTTTTTCCATTGAAGTATGTTGTAGATGATGGTGATGTATACCTAATCACTCCATATATAGTTGCTACATTTAGAAAATATTATTTCTAGTAAAGCTTTACTAACTGAAAGTACTTCTTATAGGCAAAAACTAGAAGTGAATGGCACTGAAAGAGGCAGTAAATATTAGGAACAGGGTCTCTCAGGTGCAGAGGTGAAGAAAACAGGGTGCAGTCAGGACTTTAACCCATTTGCTCATGCCAAGAATGGTCTTTAGCCAGCCAGCACTGTGCAGAGTAGATTGCTTACAAATATCTGCCAGTCAGTGAAGCATCCCTAATGGTACTGTTTGTAAAGGCTTTTCTCAATTATCTTAATGTGTTTGTTTTCTTTTCAGTGGGCAACCTAAACCAAACTTTGGCCATTTAACGGATCCTTTTGACACACCAGCATTTAACAAACTTTACAGAGGTTTGTGAACCCAAGGTTTAAAATTGCTTGAAATAACTTTAGCACATTTCCTAAAATTTGAGTCTGCCAATTTTCTTTGAAAATGCAAAACACAAAAGAAATTATGACTGTTGAAAAGGGACTTGTTAGGCAGTGGAGATCTAGTTAGGGGCAGATTGGGACCACTGGCAAGCTGTGGTGCCCTGCTGCTGCTTGGTCTGTTTCATGCTTCCCCCAGTTTCCCTATATTCCTTTTGTTCTTGTCTTTTCCCCACACTTCTTCATTTTATCCTTAAAGAAAGTAAAAGTAGAAGAGAGAGTAATTTGAAAATTATTTTTTTAAACTTCATTATACGTATGGTATGTGTTAAATGAAGAGATCCTCAGCTGTCAGGGAACTGGAAGGGCAAATTTCCTTTGATTCTTTATAGGTAAATTAACATAAATATTCAAGATTATAAAAATATGTACTTATTAAATACTGATTTTTCTTTTTAAAATTTGGCATCTGCTGTAATTGCACAATGAGTTGTTGTATGATCACATTGTGATTTACTTTCTAATTTGCCAATAGTAATTGTTACAGAGACATTCTTCTGTCCCCTCTTTTTCTTTGTTCTTTTAATCATGGATTTTTTTTTGTTCTTTCTCCCAGTTTCAGTCTTCTCTGCTTCTCCTTCCCCCAGTGGCAGTTTCTCCTCACTTTCTCTGATCAGTGACTGCTTTGGCACACCCTTTCTGCTGCAGGCATCATCTTGTTAAGCCAGATATTCCAAGAGAGTATTTTCTGCTGTTTCTAGCTTTAGATTTTCTATTTATAGACTCATAATCTCCAGAAATACTTTAGCCAGTGCACACATTTTATCATGAGAAACAGACTCAGAAGACTTAAATGCAAGTGAGTTTTATCAAGACCCTGCAGGCACCACAGGAGAGTGGTGAGCGGATTTCACATGAACCTCCTACTTGTAGACCTGTACCTTTCCTAAACGAAGGGATTTTCATCCCTCGTAGCATTTCACATTCTCATTGTTCTTTTTCATTCTTGCTTAAAACAGAATTATTCAAATTAGAAAATTGGCAACTTGAAGTAACAACTGCATTTTATTTAACCATCCTTTGAGTGCTAGAGGATGAAATACATTGAACAAAAAATAATGTTCTTATAACAGAAAGCATTATGGAAAAATACTGATAATAGTTCTTTTGGCATTTTTGTTTAGTTGTTCCAATCAGAAAAATTCATGCTCTGACCATCACATGGGCACTTCCTCCTCAACAGCAACATTACAGGTAAGAGTTAAAAGGAGGTTCACTCCATTAAATATAGAGTCAGGATCAGTTTAGAGAAGGCTGGGTGCTTTAAGTTTGGGGTTTCTATATTTAAAACTTGCGTGTCTTATAAATTGGAAGTTAGCTACTAGATTATTCAAGTCTTTAGGTATTTCATGGTTTTTCTTAATGTGAAAACTAGAATTTTTTTATAATGAGTTACTTTACCTGAGTCTTTGAAATTAAACATTTGGCATTAATATTTACTTTTCTAATTTTTTTAATTCTTGTAGAATAAAATATATTAATTTATGATTTATTTGTTCATGGTATGTATCTTTTAATTGTCAAAACTGAATGTTAAGCCAGGTGGTGGTGGCGGCACATGACTTTAATCCCAGCACTCAGAAGGCAGAGGCAGGCAGATCTCTATGAATTCAAGGCCAGCCAGGTATACAGATCGAGTTCCAGGACAGCCAGGGCTACACAGAGAAACTCTATCTTGAGAAACAAAAAATAAACCAACAAAAAACTCAAAAAATGAAAAGTTGAATCTCATTACGTTCCAAGGATTTACTTCTGTGAGTTAGGGACATTATATAAACTGGGGTAAAAATGTTAGTTTATGTCTGAGCAGTACAGCGTGAGCAATCAGTTTTGTTTTGTTTCATTTTGTTTTGTTTTTAAGTAAGGGATAGTCAATTCTACAAATGCTTTATAGTAAATAAATGCAAATGATTGATTTAAGTTAGCTTATTTTTAAAAATATGCTTTTTGTTTTGTTTTGTTTTGTTTATGAAACATTGTTTCTCTTCATGTCCCTTTTTGACTTGCAGTTTGAACTCATGGATCCACCTGCCTCTGCCTCCCAAATGCTGGGAGTTAAGGCATGTGCCACTGCAGCCTGGCTTATTTTTAAATTATATATATGTCTGCATATGGGTATGTACACACGAATGCACACGAAGCCAGCAGAGGGTGTTGGATCTGGTGGTTACTGGTGTAGTTACTGTAGCTGTAGTTACTGGTGGTTGTAAACTTTCCAACATGAATGCTGAGAACCAAGGCCAGTCCTATGTAAGAGCAGCACATGCTCTTAACCATCATCTCACCAGCCCGTCTTAAACTACTCCCAACAAAGCAAAGCTGTGTGGGCAAACCCAGCAGAAGGAAATGAAGCAGTGTGTAATGCTTGAGCTCAGTAAGTAGTTTTTGTTACATGCTAGAATATTTGAACAATCAAGTCCACTGAAATTAACACAAACAGTGAGAAAGCAGGAAATCGTGTATTACAAAAATAATATAGCAAAGAACTGCATATATATATGTAGTTATGAATGTCTTAAGAAATGTTGACATTGTTAAGCTAATACTAAAAGGACATTAACTAAGTTCTTCTGTCTTTGTCTCTGTCCTCAAAGATGGTCCAACATTAATAGCTCATTTTATATCCTCCAGGCATTAAACTATTGAGTATACTGGGTCTGAAGAGATGGCTTAGTGGTTAAGAGCACTGACTGCTCTTCTAGAGGACCTGAGTTTGAGCCTCAGCACTCACATGGTGGCTCACAACTGTTTATCTCTCCAGTTTCAGAGGATCTGGCACCCACTTCTTGCCTCCATGAATACTGTTTGCATGTGGTGCACACACAAACAAAACACCCATACACATAAAGTAAAAATAAAGATTTTATAAACTAAAAGAATCAAATATAAAACATCTCCTATGGGAGTGGGGTCACAATACCACTGTCAATAGACTTTTTAATCCTCTTAATCACCAAGTATTTGAAGAAATACTGAAAATCACAAAACGTGACAAGTTGTTGTAAGGTTTTGTTTAATTGTTTGCTGCCATCAAGCTATTTTTATAAGGCCTGATGCCTTATTTAACATTTCATTATCAGTCATCTTTATACCACAAATATGTGAATTCTTAATAAATTAACTTCAGTGGAGAGCTGTCTTTCACAGAGATACAAAGTGTTTTCCCCTTCAGTGTTGACCAAATGCAACATTGTTAGTTTTGTTCAGCTGCAGATGTTCAGTCAGCTGGGCTCATTCAGTAGTTGCTGTACCCTGTGCCTCCCTAGTATGTGTGTAATTCAGTTCACTTGCTTAGCAGAGTTTAAATAATACTTTGATTTTCAAGGACTTACTAAATTTTGGTGGACATGCTAGCCAGTATCAATAGTCCCTGTGTGTTCATTATGTTGCAAAAATACTACTAATTTGAATTTTGTAACCTAATTAGATTTCTTTAACTGTCCTGTTTTTTTTTGGGGGGGGGGTATCTTAATTTAGGGAACACACCTTTAAACTGTAGTAGAAAACATGGTAAAAGAATTTGAAGAACATATTTTTATGTTGACTATTATATGGTAGTAACTGTGAGTAGTGGTGGCTAGTCAGACAAAGAGGCAAAGAAAAATACATTAAATCCTATCTTTGGTTCAAGATTCTAATTTATTTGAAGGAAACTGAAACTAAATGAGATTTTCCAACCTTTAGTATAACATTTTTTATCCTAGAACCTGGAAGATTTTGCACAAATCTGATTCTGGGCACTGATTGCCCAGAGTTCTACAATGATAATCTATATTATGGTAGAGGGAGCTGGGGAGCAGGGATAGGAGGGTCTGTGAGGCTCACTGGTCTGCTAGTCTAGTCTAATTGTTACACCCCAGGCCTATGTCTCAGAGAAGGTGGGTGTAGAACATAAAGCTGACACCTGAGATTTTTCTTTGGCCTCTACATGCACACGTGTATATGTATCTGATCACACACATGCAAGTGCACACATCTTCACACGAACACACAAGCACACACGCATGCACACACGACCGCCCTCATGAAAAAAACCTCAAAAAACAAAAATACCACCCCTCACCGGGAGATGGTGGCTCACACCTTTTAATCTCAGCACTCCTGAGGCAGAGGTAGGTGGATCTCTGTGAGTTTGAGAGCAGCCCGGTCTACAAGAGCTAGTTCCAGGACAGCCTCCAAAGCTACACAGAGAAACCCTGTCTCGACCCTCCCCCCCAAAAACAAACAAACAAACAAACAAAAAACCCTACTCCTCTCTCCTGCAAAAAGTGACTTCATATGAAGTGTCTTCCATTTTCTGTTTTTATATCATGGTTGTGGCTGTTAACTGATTAAAACTTTTGTTTACTGATGTTATGAGAATAAGCTTAGATTCCCAAACATGCTATATTTAAAACTTCTTTTGACTTCTGACCTAGAATTTTTTTTTTTTTTTTTTTTTTTTTTTAGGGTGAAACCACTTCATTATATTTCCTGGCTGGTTGGACATGAAGGCAAAGGCAGCATTCTTTCTTACCTTAGAAAAAAGCAAGTATTCAATTATTAAGCATTTCTATATCAATCTCTGAATAATAAACAGTAGATTTTACCATGCATTCCTCTGCTTTAGCTGCCATGAGGTCTGGAATCAAAATGCTAATTATAGTCATAGTAACTAACATTTCTTATAAGCATTTTAGCTCATATTGGAAATAATTACAAAGTTAAAAATTTATATATGGAATTAACAGTTGATTTCATACTTATATAAGAAGATTAGTTCTAATAAAATAATTTGGATAAGTAAGTCAACTATTTAAATGCTGTGACTCTCTAGGGTTTCCAACCCAAAAGGTAGACTGTAGAAAAATCATATTGGAGTTAAGAAAACCATGTGGAGTTAAGAAAAGTATATGCAGCTGGGCAGTGGTGCTGTACAGGCCTTTAATCCCAGCACTCAGGAGGCAGAGGCAGACAGATCTATGAGTTCAAGGCCAACCTGATCTACAGAGTGAGTTTCAGGACAGCAAAGGCTACCCAGAGACATCCTATCTCAAAAAACCAACTCCCCCCATGCAGCTGCATTAGTAGAGTGTATCCTAATGCATTTATGCAGCTGCATTAGTAGTGTGTGTCCTAATGCATTTATGCAGCTGCATTAGTAGAGCGTGTCCCAATGCATTTATGCAGCTGCATTAGCAGTGTGTGTCCCAATGCATTTATGCAGCTGCATTAGCAGAGTGTGTCCCAATGCATTTATGCAGCTGTTTCATTTCTAACCAAACAATAGAAATAGAACTTTAGAATCTGGATCAGTACTTTTAATTTTTTGTTTTTTTCTGTGTACTAATTTGGGAATGAAAAATTTATAAAAATACTACGAAAGATATCATTGTGTTTCAGAACATTCACAGAAATTGAAAGAGTAGTTATTACTAAGACTCTTCATTTTGCAAACTCTTCATTTTGGTATACACCCTCTGATTTAAGTTTTTGGTGTTATTTTAGCCAGGACACAATCTACTGTCAATGCTGCTTTATTGGATAACCATATAGGATAGCTTAAGGTCTCTAAGTAAACTCATTTGACCTTCTGAGTTGGGTTATATTTTATTTGTTTCAAGACTTTTAGGAGACAGAATCAAAGATGGTAAGTGAAATGTTTCCTAGTAACTGTATGTAGTGGTTAATTTGTATGGTTTTTTTGTTTTGTTTTGTTTTGTTTTTTGGTTTTTTGAGACAGGGTTTCTCTATGTAGCTTTGTAGCCTATCCTAGAACTCGCTCTGGAGAACAGGCTGGCCTCGAACTCACAGAGATCCACCTGCATCTGCCTCCCGAGTGCTGGGATTAAAGGCGTGCGCCACCAACGCCTGGCAATTTGTATGTTTTTCTTTCTTTCTTTTTTTTTTTTTTTCATTAAGAATCACATTGACATCATAAAGCTGCTTGTACAGGAAAATATGACTGCTCTTTGGTTCTGGTGACTTCTAAATCTACTGTAATTCCTAAAATTTAAACTTGGAAAACTTACTATTGTCCGAGGTGGTGCCACAACCCTGTAATCTCAGCTCTAGGGAGGCAGAGGCAGTAGAATTGCTCAAGTTCAAGGCCAGTCAGAGCTATTGTTGTGAGAGCTGGTCTCAAACAAACCAAACCCCTTTAATACATAAAAGTACTTGTGTACATCAAAAGCTCAGGTTCCAAAATTCTACACAGGAAGCTGGCTGACTTTGTTAATTTAAAGGCTTACTGATTAGGTTAATTTTTCCAACTGTAGGTGCTGGGCTCTTGCATTGTTTGGTGGAAATGGCGAGACAGGTTTTGAGCAAAATTCGACTTACTCTGTGTTCAGCATTTCTATTACATTGACTGATGAGGGGTATGAGCATTTTTTTGAGGTAAGTAATTAAATGGAATACATTTCTTTTCTCTAGATTCTGCTTTATGCAAAAGACTAATGAAGTGTTCTGCTTCCAGGTTGCTCATGCTGTCTTCCAGTATTTAAAAATGCTGCAGGAGCTAGGCCCAGAGAAAAGGTAAGAAAATTTCTTAGAATGAAACTGAGTTGATCCTAGTACAATTTTGGTTTCAGACTGCCAACAGACATGCTTTAGTCCTACAAGATGGTGTTATGTCATTTCTTACTGTGCCCTTTATTGGTTCTGTATCCTGGTCCCTCTCCATCTGAGTGCTGTTTTTATTTTTATGTCTCTTTTCTTATAGGTGACTGCAATGAGAAATTTTAATTTATCTTCTAATTGTCATGTTCTCTTTTACAGAGTTTTTGAAGAGATTCAGAAAATTGAGGATAATGAATTTCATTACCAAGAACAGGTATTAGAAGTCAAATTATTTTTGCATGTTATCTATGAACAAGTTGGAATTGATGTGATCATTGTCCTACTTTATGAAAGTGTCACTGGAATTATTTATTTATTATTTATTTATTTATTATGTATACAACATTCTGCTTCCATATATATCTGCACACCAGAAGAGGGCACCAGATCCCATAACGGATGGTTGTGAGCCACCATTTAGGTGCTGAGAATAGAACTCAGGACCTATGGAAGAGCAGCCGGTGCTCTTAACCTCTGAGCCATCTCTCCAGCCCGTGTCACTGGAATTTTAATTGTGCCTCTCAAGATGGCCTTGACACTTTTGTGTTTAGCACTATAGTTACAGGGCAAGACTAGGCCCATTACATAGATCATCATGTGTGACCATTTTCTATGTAATCACCTGTTTTGTCTATCCCTTTGATAAACATTCAATGGAGAGCTTGCCACGGAATCCAGTAGTTTGGGAATTCAAATATTATGAAGACATTATATTAGGTAATCAATAGTAATTACTATGTGTAATATTAAGAACATTTGAGCAGTGACTATACATGGTATTTTAAATATCTATGATAACTATATTGTGATTTTTGTGGGTGGTAGTCATAGACATTGCTCATATTATCTTGGGTACTACTGATATTGATACTTATTATCTTTACATGGTACTAAGGATTGAACTTAGACCTTTTGCATGTTAGGGAGGTACTCTACCGCTAAGCCATGTATATAGCCTCTGATAGTCATAATAAAAATAAGTAATTTCATCCCAACCAAACTCAGGGTCTCCCTGATTTTGTCCACTGATATAAGGGCCCTAGCTATGAGAACTCTGATTTATAGCTAGTCAGACCATCTGAAAAGGATGGCTTTTTTTGATGGCTACCTAAGTCTGTTCTGTCAGTTAGTGTATACCATAAGCAGGGAAGATGTAAGTTCAAGAGGAAGGCTGCAGAAACTCCAGTTAGTATTGACTCTTCTGTAGTGTGTTTTCTATCCTTGAAGCCATCTAAAAGTGAAATGAAAGTCTTACTCTGTGAAGCAGAAAGGCTGCAGTGTCTCACCTGAGTCCCTAGAGGGCCCTGCATGCACTCTTCCCTGTAAGTAGATTGATTGATACAGAGTTGGTAACCCCCCCACCCAAAAATAAAGTCTTGTCCTGCCATCTTACCAGGAGTGTGTTTTCCCATCAGCTATGGTGGCAAACATGGGAGTCAGAATCATAAGGGGAGGTACCAGAGTGCCAGAGTGAGCATTTGTATACAAATGAGTGAGCTACAGGTGACACCCCCACCCCCCAGGGACTTCAGTGGAGGAGGGAGGTCAGCTGGGTGCTTTCTCTGCCTCTCTGAGCTTGCTGGCACCTGGCTCCTGAGTCTTTATTGGTAAAATCGAATGATTGAGATTTTGCTAAAAACAATTTAGAGGAACAGAACACAGATGATGGCTATTGAACTGAGGGCAGTGAGTACTCTGAGCTTGGGGAATGATGAAAGTGTTTGGAACTTAGTGATCATGATGGGTCAGTTTTGTAAATATAAAAACTATTTAAAAGGGTTGATTTTGTGGTTTATGCATTATAGCTTCCAATGTTAAATCTAGAATTGTAAGTTAAGTCTAAAATCTAAAATTATAACTGAAAAATGTGTGTACATATTTTCCTTTGTGAGGCTAGAGATTGAAGCCTTGTCATACGTTTTACCAGTACCAGTCTATTGCTTTTGCATCACAGGTCAGCTTTGAGGTAGGGTCCCTTTGTCAGAGCAAATGAGTTTAATTGCTCAGGTTTCTACCATGTTGGTTAGAGCAATTGCATTTCAAGGAAGAAGCTACTAAAAATAACTTATGTAAAAGGTAAAACAGGACTGGAGGGATGGCTCAGAGGTTAAGAGCAATGGCTGTTCTTCCAGAGGTCCTGAGTTCAATTCCCAGCAACCACATGGTGGCTCACAACTGTGTATAATGAGATCTGATGCCCTCTTTTGGTGTGCAGGCAGAACACCATATATGTAATAAATAAATAAATCTTTTTTGTTGTTGTTGTTGGTTTTTCGAGACAGGGTTTCTCTGTGGCTTTGGAGGCTGTCCTGAAACTAGCTCTTGTAGACCAGGCTGGTCTCAAACTCACAGACATCCACCTACCTCTGCCTCCTGAGTGCTGGGATTAAAGGCGTAAATAAATAAATCTTAAATTAAAAGGTAAAACAGAGCCAGGCCTGATGGCATGAGCCTGTATTCCCAACTATTCTGGAGGCTGAGGCAGGAAGATTTGAAGTTCAAGGCCTGCCTAGGTTACTGAGTGAGTTAAAGGCTATCCTGGATAATTTAGTGTGGCTCTGTCTCAAAATAAAGTAAAAACAGAGTTTGGGTATGTATTAGTTATTTTTTTTCTATTGCTGTGATAAAACACCAGCACCAAGACAACTTATAAAAGAGCATTTAGTTGGCTTATGATTCCAGAGGGTTGGTTAGAGTCCATGATGGAGGATGGCTGCATACCTCAAACTGCAAGCAGGAGGCCAAGACTGCACAGGGGGTGGTGGCCTCGGAGGTGGAAGGTTTTTGGGACCTTAAGCCCACCCTCAGGAACACACCTCCTCTTCTAACAGGTCACACCTCCTAATCCTCAAATAGTTCCAACTGGGAACCAAGTATTCAAACATATGAGCCTATGGGGGTATTCTCATTCAAATCATCACAGTGTATTTGGGTCTGCAGTAAACACTTGAGTTGATTGTTTTATTTTGTTTTGTTTTATTCTGGAAAATTATTTCTACCTTATAAAGAACTGGTCATTTTTTTTAACTTTTATTGAGATACCATACTGATTAATATAACTTCTTAGAAACTTTTTTATACAGTATAATAAATGTTCATTTTTTAGTACAGTATGATTTTAATACATATATACGATGTGTAATGCTGAGATCAGAGTAATTGGCATATCTGTTACCAAAACATTTGTATCTATTTAGGGAGTGTTTAAATTCCTTTTTTTTCTGGCTATTTTGAAGTATTTGTTGTTCCCCGTAGTTACCCTGCTGCTCTGCAGAGCACCGTCACTGCTCCTGTCCTGTGGGGCCTGTGCCTATTGACCTCTCTCTCTCCAGTCCTGTCTCCTTCTGTTGATACTACTCTTGTGCTTTCTACTTGTCACTATTATCTAATGACCCATTGTAGTTTGATTCATCTTGCAAGTACTTTTTAACTGGTAGTGCTTCAGTCTTGAGTCCCCATCTGTATGGACATAACAGTCATGTTAGGCATTTGACAGAGTTCATTGTGGGGCTGGGCTGTTCTCATGAAGAGGCTAGTATGACTGGAGCAGAGTAGGTTGGTCTTGGGTTCAGGGTGGCACTTTGCAAGTGAAGTTTCCTGGCACCGCAGCATGGGGTTGCTCTCTTGGAGTCCTGAGCCACTCAAATGCTCCTCCTTGCGTGTTGTGATGGACTAATGGCAGCTCTCCTATGAAATGACAGTGACTGTACTTCTTTACAGACAGATCCCGTGGAGTATGTGGAGAACATGTGTGAGAACATGCAGCTCTACCCACTTCAGGACTTTCTCACCGGAGATCAGCTTCTGTTCGAATACAAGCCAGAAGTAAGGAGCAGTCCAGTTTAGAACTCATTTTAGGAAAGAGTTAGTGAAAAACAGCAGAGTTGTTTTTAAGAACTGTGAGAATGGAGAGAATGTGGTAAGTTTAGTCAGGATTTTTGTTTGTTTAACACAAGGCCATCTTTTCTGTGTTTTGGAAACAGTCTCATATATCCTAGGCTGGCCTCACACTTGCTGTGTAATTGAAGATAACCTATGTGGTACCGGTGTCAGATACAGGGCCTCTTGCACACTAGGCAAGCAGTCATATAATGAATTACATTTCCAACCCCATTTGTTTATCTTTGATATAAAGGATGAAAAACTTTCAAGTACTAAAACACTTAAGGCATTTTCTAAGATTTATATAGTTTGATTCTATTCTAAGTATTCTTTTAAAAAATTGCCTAGCCTACTTTTAATTGGAAATCCAGGACAGCTAAAAAAATTTTTTTTTGCAGATTTTTTTATTTGAATTAGAAACAAGATTATTTTACATGTCAATCCCAGTTTCCTCTCCCTTCCCTCCTCTCCTACCACTCCCCCCAAACTAAAACCCTACCTATCACATATCCTTTCTGCTCCCCCTGGATGGTGAGGCCTTCCATAAGGTGTCATCAGAGTCTATCATATCCTTTGGAATAGCCCCCCCCACCCCCGTATGTATTGGCTCAGGGAATATCCCTCTATGTGGAATGGGCTCCCAAAGTCCACACCTATGCTGGGGAGAAGTACTGAACTACTACAGAAGGTCCTGTAGATTTCCAAGGTTTCCTCACTGAAACCCATGTTCCTGGGGTCTGGATCAGTCCCATGCTGATATCCTAGCTATCAGTCTGGGGAACAAGAGCAGCTGTTTCTGTGGGTTTCACCAGCCTGGTCTGGACCCCTTTGCTTTTCACCACTCCAAACCCATGTTCCTGGGGTCTGGATCAGTCCCATGCTGATATCCTAGCTATCAGTCTGGGGAACAAGAGCAGCTGTTTCTGTGGGTTTCACCAGCCTGGTCTGGACCCCTTTGCTTTTCACCACTCCTCCTCTGCATCTGGATTCCAGTTCAGTTCGGTGATTAGTTGTGGGTGTCTGCTTCTACTTCCACAAGCTGGTGGATGAGGGCTATCGGGTAGCATATAAGTCAGTCATCAATCTAATTATCAGGGGAGGGCATTTAAGGTAGCCTCTCCTCTGTTGCTTAGATTGTTAGCTGGTGTCTTCTTTGTAGATCTCCAGACATTTCCCTAGTGCCTGATTTCTCTGTAAACCTAAAATGTCTCCCTCTATTATGGTATCTCCATTCTTGTTATCTTCTATTCTTCCCCTGACTCAACCTTTCTGCTCCCTCATGTCCTCCTCACCCCTCCCCTTCTCCCCTTCTCATTCTCCTAGCTCCCTCCCCCCTCTTTCCATGCTCCCAATTTGCTCAGGAGATCTTGTCCCTTTCCCCTTCTCCAGGGGGACCATGTCTGTCTCTCTTAGGGTCCTCCTTGTTTACTAGCCTCTCTGGCAGTGTGGATTGTAGGCTGGTAATCCTTTACTCTATGTCTAAAATCCACATATGAGTGAGTACATACCATGTTTTTTTGTGATTGGGTTACCTCACTCAGAATGGTTTCTTCTAGTTCCATCCATTTTCCTGCAAATTTCAAGATTCCATTGTTTTTTTTTCTGCTGAGTTGTACTCCATTGTGTAAATGTACCACATTTTCTCTATACATTCTTCAGTTGAGGGGCGACAGTTAAAAATCTTAAAACTTAGTCAGGCATGGTGGCACATACCTTTAATCCCAGCACTCAGGGAGCAGAAGAAGTCGAAAGAACCTTTGGGATGTAATTCAGTGGCGGAGGATTTGCCTAACATGCACACACACACAAGGTCCTAGGTCTAATCCCCAGGGCTACGAGGATAAAAAAAGACTTCCGTATAATATTGTGTGCAAGTGAACAATTGGTCAGCCACTCCTCCACTCATGGGGAACGAGTTAAGAACAAGCATCTTCCTATGGGGTAGCTTTTGTCTACCTGGGGTAGTTTGCCCTCACTGAACATTTGTTAGTGTCTAGAGATACTTTGTTTGGGACAGTTAGGGATGGGGTATAGGGTACTCCTAGGACCTAGTGGGTAGAAGACTGAGATTGTGCGAACCTTCTTAAAATGCACAAGATAGAACCCAACAATGAAGAGTTATCTGGCCCAAGACATAGCTTATGTTAATCACTGCTTCCTGCCACCTAGTGATAGCACAGTAGGTGACAGACTTGCTTATTTATTGGAAGTCCCATTAGAGCATGAGGGGCCAGATGAGCAGCGTTTAAAAGCACCATGAGGACACAAACTTGATTTTTGTCAGTTATATCTCAATGGAAGTAAAAATAAGGTTTTGAAATAATAATAAACTTAAGAGTTTTAAAAACTAGGAGGTTCATGAATTAGAAACAGTTCACTGACATCAAGACACTAGGGTAACTTGCAACTGTTTTTCTAACAAGAGTGTATTAACTTAAATTGTTACTGTTTATATTTCTCTTCCCTTCTCTCATCTCACTTCCTGTCCCCTCTATTAGGTCATTGCTGAAGCTCTTAATAAGCTGGTTCCTCAGAAGGCAAACCTTGTTCTTCTGTCTGGTGCTAATGAAGGAAGATGTGATCTCAGGGAGAAGTGGTTTGGGACTCAGTACAGTATAGAAGGTAAAGACTGTGATTGTTAAGTCTATCTGACTCAGCTAGAGATTTTAAATAAAACTATTTTTTTTTAATTTATTTAACTTAGAAACAAGTTTGTTTTACATGTCAATCCCAGTTCCCTCTCCCTCCCCTCCTCCCCTGCCTCTCACTGATCCCCTATACCATCCCATTCCTGCTCCCCAGGGAGGGCGAGGCCTTCCATGGGGGATCTTCAAAATCTGTCATATCATTTGGAGCAGGACCTAGGCCCTCCCCTGTGTGTCTAGACTGAGAGAGTATCCCTCTATGTGGAGTGGGCTCCCAAAGTTCATTCATATACTAGGGATAAATACTGATCCACTACCAGAGACCCCATAGATTGCCTAGACCTCCTAACTGACACCCATGTTCAGGAGGTCTGGGGTCAGTCCTATGCTCGCTTCCCAGCTATTAGTCTGGTGTTCATGAGCTCCCCCTTGGTCCAGCTGGGGATTTTTAAAAAAAGATTTATTTATGTGTGTGCATGTGTGTACATGTATGAGTTTATGTGCAATCTACTTATGTGGATGCCTATGGAAGCCAGGTGTCAGATCCTAAGGAACCAGAGTTACAGGCAGTTGTGAGCTGCTGTGTGGGTACATGAGCAGCAGGTACTCTTAACTACTGAGCCATCTTTCCAGCCCCATCAGCTGGAAATTTTTAATTTTATGTGTGTGTACATGTGTGTGTGTGTGTGTGTGTGTGTGTGTGTGTGTGTGTGTAATTTTAATTTTTATTAATTTTTTAGGCAGAGCCTCACTTTGTAGCCCTGGCTGACCTTAGACTCATTATATAGACCAGGATTGCTACCTTTTGTTTTTTTTTTTTGTTTTTATTTTTGTTTTTAAAGACAAGAGTCTTTTTATATTAGCCCTGGCTATCCTAGACTTACTATGTATGTAGACCAGGATAGCCTCAAATTGCCCTTCCCTAGGAGTGCTGGAATTATAGATGTGCTATCATACCAGGCTGGGGATGGCTGTCTTAAGGTTTTTCTCATCTGCAACTATTCTTAGCATTTTCTTCTAACTCCCCACAATAGCTCATTAAGCTATGAACAATGGCTTTTCTAGTCCAAAGTTCCAAAGTCCTTTCACAATTCTCCCGACAAACATGGCCTGTTCTGACACAGCAATACTCCACTCCTGGTACAATAGTTAGGGTTTCTGTTGTTGTGATAAAATGTCATGACCAAAAAAGCAACTTGGGAAGGAAAGGGTTTATTTCTTCTTACAACTGTCAGGTCACACTCCATCACCAAGGGAAGTCAGGGCAGGAATTTGAGGTGGGAACCTGGGGTTCAAAACTGAAACAGAGATCACTCAAGGAGGACTGCTTATTGGCTTTCTCAGCCTGCTTTCTTATAGCACCCAGGACCACCAGCCCGGGTGGTACCACCCACAATGAGATGGGTCTTCCCATATCAATCATCAATCAAGAAAATACCCACAGACCTTCCTATAGGCAAATATGGATGGAGGTATTTTCTCAATTAAGATTACCTCTTCCTAGATATGTCTGTGCTCATGTCAAGTTGGCAAAAATCAATCAGGATACTGGCCTCAAACTGACAGAGATCTGCCTGACTCTCTACCTGAGTGCTGGCATTAAAGGAGTGTACCAGTATGCCTGGCAAAAAGTATAAGTTTTGAAAAATTTATTTTGAAAGAAACATACTTTGTGAGCAGTTCTTTTCTGCTATATTTATATTTTTGAATTAGTGAAAATATCCTACTTAATTGGTTATTTGGTAGGTAGATTTTTTTTTTTTAAACCTGGTTATTCATTGATACTACTTACTGTTTTTAGGCAAAGTCTTGCTATGTAGGCCTGGCTGGCCTGGAACTCAGAATTTCCTGCCTTCACCTCCAAGTGCGCTGCAGCCCTTGGTTTCACTTTGTTTTAGAGCAGCAGTTCTCAGCCTGTGGATTGTGACCCTTTTGGGGGTTGGACAAAACTTTCACTGGGACCACCTTAGACCATTTGAAAACATAGATATTTATATTATGATCCATAACAGTAGCAAAATTACAATGATGAAGTAGCAATGAAAATAGTGTTATGATTAGGGGTCACCACAACATGAAGAACTGTATTAAAGGGTCACAGTATTAGGAAGGTTGAGAACCACTGTTTTAGAGAAATGTGTCTCTGGAGGCATAACTGCCTAGCTCCTGCTCTATGCAAACTAAAATACCAAACTATTCTTAAAAAAGAAAAAAAAAACACAGAAGAAAGAAAGAAAAAGGCTAAAGAACACTTGTCTGACTCACTGTGCATGTGTGTCGCTTAGCACATGCTTATAATCCCAGTACCCAGGAACTCAAGGCAGAAGGATCTCCAGTAATCAGACTTTTCTCCAAAAATGAAGAGGGAGGAGGGAAGAAAGACTGACTCTGAATCAGAGTCTGGGTAGGATCCAAGTTCTGCGTTCCAAACACTGTCTCAGATGATGGCAGTGCCGATGGGTCCCTAGGTTTTGTAGCTATGCCTGAGGGGAAGTTTAGTGGTGAAGGCCAGTTCATGGCTGGGTTGTTAAGAGATCCTTCCTCCCCCTTTCCCCCCCCCCCAGGTTTGTCTGTGAAACAGTCTTGGCTGTCCTGGAACTCACTCTAGACCAGGTCGGCCTTTGTTAAGAGATTTCTAAGCATTGCATTATTTGTTGGATCCATCTGTTTTTTCCCCTCTACAGATATTGAAAACTCTTGGGCTGAACTGTGGAAGACTAATTTTGACTTAAATCCAGATCTTCATCTTCCAGCTGAAAACAAGTACATAGGTCAGTAAAATAGTACTCATAGTATATGACGGTCCATGTGCTAATAAAACACAGCTGTGGAGTACATGGTGTTTACACGTGAATTCATATTTTAGGATATCAGCAGTATTCTGGGGGTGGGAATTACTATTTTCTTTGTTTTCCAGTGGAGAAAAAACAAATTCAGAAATGCAAAGTGACTTATCTGAGTCACTAGAGGAACCAGGCTCTCAATATTCATAGCTGATCCTTTCACAGGAAGAAACTTTAGAAGGCTGTGAAACAGGTCCAGCCAGATAACTTAGCAAGTAAGAGTGCTTGCCACTGAGTCTGATCTGAGTTCCACCCCTGGATTCCATATGGTGGAAGGAGAGAACCAATTCCTGCAAGTTGTCCCTGTCCCTACTCCTCCCCTCCCCATGAGCAAATGTATTAAAGAGAAGATGAATTGGGAAGTCAACATAATGGGTTTGAGTTTGCTGTGGTGAATGCTGAAAACTTACAAAGTCTATGTGAATAGACAATAGCCAGATGTTTAATTGCATATAGAAGTGGTGTTATTTCAAAACATTTTGTTCTAAGTAGGCCTATATCTGCAGACCTATCTATTAGCTTGCATTGGCAAATATATTTCTGAGTTTCAATGAGAAAGTTAAAAACTGGAGGTTTTACAAAGTTTGTAGCTATAGTTTACTCGGGACACCTTCCTTCCCAGCAGTTCCCAGCATCATCTGTGTCCATAAGAGATGGAGATACTCACATCCATGTCCTTGCACCCTCACATCAGCACTTGGTACAAGAGCCATAGGCCAATGAACCAAAGTGGTACATGCACACTTTAAAATACTATTCAGTCATGTAAAGAAAGGAAGCATTCATATATATTACAGTGTGGTGAGTCCTTAGAATGCTATGTCAAGGGGCTGGAGAACTGGCTCAGTGGCTGAGAGCACTTGTTGCTTTTGCAGAGGACCAGGGTTGAGTTCCCAGCACCCACATGGCTTGAGTTACATGGTTGAGACTGACTACGTAGGTGTTGGGAACTCAACCCTGATCTTCTGGAAGAACAGCCAGTGCTTTTTACTGTCTCTCTAGCCCCATCAGTACTTTTTAATAAATACATTATGTACATCTTTTATTCTCCATTTTCTTTAAATCAACTATCTCTTACCTAATCAACATGTTTACTAAGCAGTTTGCCATTAATTTGAAAAGATGTTAGGCTTTTTTTTAGCAGTACTACTTGGTAACCTTTACAAGTCCTTATGGCAAAAGATATAGCTATTGAAGAACATGTTCATTCAAAGATTGAGCTATACAAGTACCCTGACTCAAAAGTCGTCTTCTCCTATGTAATAATTACTTGAGAAAGGGACGGAAGCTGAATGTAGAGAGAGAAGAATCTACTGTTGGAAATTAGACACTTTCAGTTTTCATATAATGTAAGGCTAAGTGTACATTGTATTCCAATATTTGAAAAATGATCATTCTTTTGTTCTTTTTAGCCACGGACTTTACATTGAAGCCTTTTGATTGCCCTGAAACTGAATACCCTGCTAAAATTGTGAATACTCCACAAGGTTGCCTATGGTATAAGAAAGACAACAAATTCAAAATCCCCAAAGGTAAGATCTGCCCTCTAAGGAATGAAGTAGGGAAATCTTTCTCTTGTGTGGCAGCCTTTCTGTTCCTGTTGTCTGCTTCCATTTCCCATCACTTTCCCCTGAAGCCTCTTTTACACTTACAGATTAATAGTGTGCTCCTATGTTTAAAGGAGTGTGCATAGACAGACCGCTCTCCAGGAAATAGAAATTCAGTTCTAGGGCTGGTGAGATGGCACTTGTGATACCAAGCCTGATATTCTGGCTTTTGATCGCCAGGACCTGCATGGTGGGAGGAAAGAACCAGATTCTAAGAATTGTCATCTGACTCACCCCCCCCCCCCCCCACACACCCACCCTCTCAAAAAAAAAAAAAAAAAATTCAAATCTAGCTGGGTGGTGGTGGCGCACACCTTTAATCCCAGCACTCAGGAAGCAGAGGCAGGCAGATCTCTGTGAGTTCCAGACCAGCATGGTCTACAAGAGCTAGTTCCAGGACAGCCTCCAAAGCTCACAGAGAAATCCTGTCTCACCCCACCCCCCAAAAAAAAATTCAATTCTAGAAATTGTTTTTAAGTATTTTTCCTCCCAGAAAAATGAAATTAGAACCAGATATTTGACTGCCTTAAAGGATTGATTATAATATTTGAACGCTGTTTAAAGACAGAATAAGATATGAGGAAAATTATTCCTAGATATAATAGAAAGTCTAATCCAAAATTGTAACATGAAATCTTCCTCAGCTGCTTATCTCTACCCTTTGCTTTTAGTAGAAAGCGTATGTAGTGTGAGGCTGAACAGACTCTTTAAATCCCTTATCCTTTAGGTGATGGCCCGAACTATGTTGTTGTTGTGTGTGTCTTGGAATCATAGTCTGAGACTGCCATTTAATCAATGACCTGAACAGCCTCCCTTTCACCCTTCTCTCCATGCCTCCTTTCTCCAACACTCCACTCAGTATATAATCCAGGCTGGCCTCCAAATGGTGCCCCCCCCCCACTTCAGTCTCCCAGAGTTGGGGATTTGAGCTGTGCCATCACAGTTTTTCTTGAATGGTTTATTAAGAATATAGAGGGGCTGGAGAGATGGCTCAGCAGTTAAGAGCACAGACTATTCTTCCAGAGGTCCTGAGTTCAATTCCCAGCAACCACATGGTGGCTCACAACCACCTTGAATGAGATCTGGTGCCCTCTGCTGGCATGCAGGCAGAAGACATAATAAATAAATGAAATCTTTAAAAAAATATAGAAATTGTAATTGCCATTTATTCAGCTTCTTTAGAAAAAAGCTCTTGTTCTGACTTCTGTGAACACTGAGTTTCTTGATTAATGTTCCTAACATGTATACCTGTCTGAAGTTACTGATAAATGTAGTTATTCATATGTCTGATATTCCCATAGGTTAAAGTGTGCCTCTGATAATAGGAATGGTAAAAAATACCCTTTAAAAGCTTTAAGAATAAAAATAAAATATGCAGGGACAAAAGAGAATAAACATGTAATGAAGCTTTAAGGACTAGTTTATTTAGACTTTAAAAGCCACATTAGGGGAAAATAGTAGGTGTTAAAATATTTGAGCCTCTGGCCTTCTATATTTTATCCATGGTCTTCTTCTTCCAGCCTATATACGTTTCCATCTGATCTCACCTTTGATACAGAAGTCTGCAGTAAAGTAAGTTGTTGGGTTTTTGTTGTTGTTATCTTTATTTTTTCCTCAAAAAAGAAAGAGAAAAAAATTAAACTGTTGACTATGCTGGCTAGTTTTATGTCAACTTGCACAAGATAGAGTTTTTTTTTTTTTAGAAGAGGGAACCTCAATTGAGAAAATACCCCTACCACATTGGCCTGAGGGAAAGCCTGTGGTACATTTTTTTTTTTGGTTAACAATTGATGTGAGTAGTGCCATCCTTGGGCTGGTGGTCCTGGATTCTCTAAGAAAGCAGGCTGAGCAAGCCATGAGGAGCCTCCCTCTATGGGCTCTGCATCAGATCCTGCCTCCTGGTTCCTGCCCTGACTTCATTTGATGGTGGACAGTGATGTGGAAGTGTAAGCAAAATAAACCCTTTCCTTCCCAAGTTGCTTTTGGTCATGGTGTTTCATCACAGCAGCGATGATCCTAACTAAGAAGTTGGTGCTAGGAGTGGAGTATTGCTGTGACAGACTGGACCAGGTTTTGGGGAGGATTGTGGAAGGACTGTGGGCTAGAGAAGCCCTGGAGTGTTCAAAGCTTGGTGAGCTGTTGTGGGAACTTGGAGGATAATGTTAAGAGTGATGCGGATGATGAAGCCTGGCTTATGAAGTTTTAAGCAGAAACAAAGATTCTGTGGGGCCTTGTGTGTGATACTTGGAATTAAGAATCTGTGGTGTCTGGTCAGCTGGAGCTGAGGAATCAGCTATGTCTAAGAAGAGATCAGCACCAGGGAGGCAGACTCTTCTGGGAAGTGTTTCCTCAGGGCCAGCACACTGACTTTTTTTTTTTTTAACTATTGGAAAACAGTGTTATTTTAGCCTGAACAACTGGTTATTTTCTCCTTCAGTACTTGAGCTCTGTTAGCTGCTTTATGAGTTTTGCTTGCTTGATTTTTCTGTGCTCTAAACAATTAGAATAGCTTGTAAGCAAATCACAGAATTACTGGGCTAACCCTCACTGTAAACTAGGAATAGAGCTGGGGAGGGGCTGTCTGTCTGTCTACAAAGAAGACTGATGGAATTTCTGTTGATATAGCACCTAAAGACTTGCAGGGTTTTAAGATTTATTTTATTTTAGATTGTATGTGTTTGCATGTGTATGTGGGGGTATGGCAGGGGTGGGGTGGTGCCGCAGCATGTGGGTGCAGGCTCTGGAACAGGCCAGAAGAGGGCCTTAGTTCCCCTGGGGCTGGAATCATAAGCAGTTGTGAATTATCTGTGCTGGGAATTGAACTCAGGTCCTCAGCAAGAGCTTTTAAATGTTGAACTATCTCTCCAACCCCAGCTTCCAAACTTTTAATTTATAAATTACTCATGTGTTTGTTTATATAGATAACTGTGCTGGGGAGATCAGAGGGCTCAAAAAGTGACTTATAGGAAAGGCTCAGAAAATGTTAGTGCATTTCTGGGTTTGTTTTATTTTATTTTTGGTTTGGGATAGGGTTTCTCTTTGTAACTTTGGATCCTGTCCTGGCACTTGCTCTGTAGACCATGTTGGCCTCCAACAAAGATGGAGTCTGAAAGCCTAAGCCTGATTGGTAGCCAGGGTTGCTGGCTGGTGCTAAATGACTGTGATTCCCCTGTGAAACTGATTCCTGAGTAAGCTAGAATTCCTTTCAGACCTTATGGGTTGTATTTTTCAGAGCAGAGAAATGGACACCTTACTAAGGGCCAAGTTTCTTACTCTGATAGACAAATTCTTATCTTTCTGTCAATTAATAATGCTAGTTACATTTTGTGTTTTCCAGTGTTGTCCTCTTTGACATCTTCGTCAATATTCTTACTCATAACCTTGCTGAGCCAGCTTATGAAGCTGACGTGGCACAGCTGGAGTATAAACTGGTAGCTGGAGAACATGGTTTAATTATTCGAGTGAAAGGATTCAACCACAAACTACCTGTAAGTGTGCCAACTGTTTTTCTCAGATGGAGGTTTGAAATACCATATTTACCTTTGTTGCCCCAAAGCACTAACCAGAGGCCCAAATGTGGTACTTTGATAGAAGGGCTTCCCAGTGGGCAGTATCAAAGGCTTCCCTTGCATATGACAACTGTCTAACTTTGAACATACTTAATAAGGTTCCTGCTGTGGCTTCCCTCAATGGTAGACTGTGATGTGGAAGTTGGTTTGGGTCAGTGTTTTATGACAGCAACAGAGAAGCAGACCAGAACAGGCTTTGCCCTGATCTGGGGTTTGCTGATTCTCAACTCTGAAGATCCTCCTGTCTCTGGCTGCCAGGTGCTTGGCTGATTTTGACATGGATGCTAGCTAGAGTGGAACTCAGGTCCTCATGCTTGTGTGGCCAACACTTCACCGTCTGAGCCAACTCGACAGCCCAGAGAATTTTGTGAATATATATGTTACATATAAAAATATATGTTAATAAGCTGTGGTAGTATGTGTACAGGCACAGGAAACCACCTGTGCTTTAGGTCTGATCTCACTTCTGTTTGCTGTTTCTCTGAAACCCACATTGGCATTTAGGTTTGGTCTGAGGTAAATTCTCACAAAAGAGCATAACAAATTTAAGGAGGGACATTAATATTCCGTGAAGTGGCTTTTCATGTAAGAAAGGTTGCATAGGGAAGAAACTGCAGAATACGGTCCTGTCCTGACAAAACTCTCAAGGCTAATTCTTCCTTTATACTTCTCCCGTCTGCCCAGCAGGAGGCACTATGGAGTGATTTACTTTTGTCTCCCTTCAAGTGTAGGTTAAGATTCAAACAGATTAAATCCCAGAATACAGTGGGTGTCATTTGGGAAATAAGTTTAGAACACTGTTTAAAAATACAAATCTTAGAAAATTGGTGTTCTTTTTTGTTTTTTTTTGAAAGACAGGGTTTTCCTGTGCAGCTTTGGAGCCTGTCCTGGAACTAGCTCTTGTAGATCAGGCTGGTCTAGAACTCTCAGAGACCCCCCTTCCTCTGTGTGCACCTCCATGTCTGGCTTGGATAAGACAATTTAATATTAAATAGTTGTCATTGCTTCCTAACTTTATGTGCAAATATAATACCCTTCAATTAAAGGCACATTTTAAAGGTAGTTTGGAAGGAAAATGACGAAAACTGAAGACACATTGCTTCAGCTTTGGCCTTTGGGCACTGAGTCCTGAGCACTTCTCTTGGGTCCCCTGCAGTGCCTGTTCTCCGCCTGGCCCTGTGTTAACTGGAGAAAAGCATTTCCACCCCAAAGTTGAGTGTGTTTTCCATGCTCTGCTGCTTAAAGTGCTTTTTCTTTTAGCTGCTCTTTCAGCTCATCATTGACTACCTGGCTGAGTTCAGTTCTACACCTGCTGTCTTCACAATGATAACTGAGCAACTGAAGAAGACCTACTTCAACATCCTCATCAAACCTGAGACTCTGGCTAAGTAGGTGGACACGGGCTATGCCTAAAAAATGGTTAACTTCTAGGAGGAGGTATATGAGTTGCTGAATTGAGGTGTTCACTGCGTCAGTCTTTTAACCTCCACTGTGGAGAAGAGTGCAGAAGGAGCTGAACCCTCTGTGACATGGATCCCTGGCTAATTGCAGCCTGCATGGGTATCTGTGTGAATCAGAAAAAGGTGCCTTGGGTACTCATCTACTCCTCATCAGCTGATAGAGGAACCCTTGTGAGAAGGGTAGAAAAGGCTCCTGAGAGGAGACACAGCCCTTTGTCCACATGGCTTTAAGCCGCTTCATGACTTCATTGCTTAGGCATCCTGCAATAGCCTGACCTTAAACACAGGCAAAGAAATTGAATCACAGATATTAAGAACTAGAGAAATCCAGTAGCTATTACTCCAGCAGTTTGGAGATGGGGAGTGAAGTTAGTCTGATCATGCACTAAAGTCACTGCAATCATAGACACTGTAGTATTAGCTAGAATTACAAATTAGTGGACTTTCTAACAAAACAGCAATAATTAAAAATTTGTGTACAAAAATTGTGTACAATTAGTTAAATTTGACTAACTTAGCAACTTATGTGAAATATTTCACTCTATACCTGAGACAGGAAGGTGCGTTGTGTTGGTGAATGAAACCATTGAAAACTTTGTATGCAGTTTAATTGCTACTTTGGCCATTCTGGCATTTTTCTCCATCTTATAATGGGAATCACATGTATTGAAACACTTCTACATATCTTGACCTAACATTTTTCTTACGATACATTTCTTATAACATTTGTTTTTAAATGTCCTTTTGTACAGAGATGTGAGGCTTTTAATCCTGGAATATTCCCGCTGGTCTATGATTGACAAGTACCGGGCTTTGATGGATGGCCTTTCTCTTGATTCTCTGATGAACTTTGTCAAGGATTTTAAATCCCAGCTCTTTGTTGAGGGCCTGGTACAAGGGAATGTCACCAGCACGGTAAGTGAGGTGATCTTACGGTAGGAGGGACCTGTGAATTACATTGTTCTCCCTAAAGATTCTGTTGGGCCAGCTTAGCCAAATTCTGGTAGGAGTTCCTGACTCCTGATGCCAGGCCACGTCTTATGAAGAAGACTTTATGACCGAGTGAAAGGGGTTTGTTATTAATTTTGCTTTGGTTAGGTATGCTGAAGATCATATGAGAAAACCATAATGTAGAGATTAAAATAGGAAGAGCAGAGTGATAGTGTGTGTACATACATGCACAGCCAGAACCTACATGCTAGGCCTGGCCAAGCTAAGCAGTGAAACATCCACTTATTTTTGAGGTATCTAAGTAGTAAGATGGATAGAAAAGGTAGAATGGTAGTTTCCAGAGCCTGGTAGGGCTGGGGGGCGGGGCGGGGGAGAGGAAGAAGGGCGGTATTTAATGGGTATATAATTCTGATTTTCCAAGATGGAGTTATTTGGAAATATGTCACACAAGCTTGACTATAGTTAACCAAATTTTATATATTGATTTTCAAGACAGGGTTTCTCTGTGTAGCTTTAGCTGTCCTAGAACTCACTCTGTAAACCAGGTTGGCCTTGAACTCACAGAGATCTGCCTGCCTCCACCTCCTGAGGATTAGAAATTGTCCTGGGATTAAAAATTGTACACTTTGCAGCAGCCGGGCAGTGGTGATGAATGCCTTTAATCCCAGCACTTGGGAGGCAGAGGCAGGCGGATATCTGTGAGTTCGAGGCCAGCCCGGGCTACAGAGCAAGGGCCAGGACAAACTCCAAAGCAATACAGAGAAAACCTGTCTGGAGGGGAAAAAAAAAAAAAAAAGAACTGTACACTTTGTTAAGTGATAAGCTATGTTATATGAAAATGATGAAATCAAAGAAAAATGCTTAGGAGACAACTGGGGAGAAGATGCCTAAACTCCCTGGCTGGCTGGGTGAGGCAGAGTAGGAGGAACTTGTGCTGGAGTGGCCTTTTGTAGAATATAAAAATGGTCACTCTCGGAATTGTACCTTCTGTTTTTCTCCTTCCTTGTTTACCAGCCTTGGTTTCTGTCCCGCTAGCAGAAAGACCTTCCAGAGACTCAATAGCAAGAAAAGCAGGACTAGCTAAGTTGCCTGTGTCACATAGTGGGAGGACCAGCTAGGGGTTTGGGCTGAGGATTTGGTGTCATGAAATAGTTGCAGGAGAGATTACTTCAGAGTTGAGCTCACTGCACTTAGCATCTTATAGGCAAAATGGTCTCAGGAGGAACAGAAGGGATGTAGTCAGCCAAGTGCTGCTCTATTGATCACTCTAGCATAGCAGGGTGTGTCAGCTGCCCAGACTTCCAAAGTACAGCACTGGCCATAAGCATGTGATAAGCCAATGTGAAACAGGGAGCTGTTAAAATGCAAACACACTACTAGTGGGGGGGGGAAGGGGCGACAGCTTGAGTCACTTAGTATTTGATAAACATAGCTTGTCCATTGATTAGGTGACTTTCTGCTTTCCTAATGCTGTCTGTCCTAAGTGCTGCAAGGAATTAAAAAATTGAAATTATTCTTTTTTACCTTTTAGGAGTCTATGGATTTCCTGAAGTATGTTGTTGAGTAAGTATTGGTTTGTTTCCTCTGAGGTTTAGTGCTCCTCCCAGACAGAACTTTACTGTAACTCTAGGCTCTACCAGGCCCTCCCTGTGCTTGGTTTTCTTGAGCAGAGTGTAAACAACAATTCAGAAGGGAGGTGAAGCCTGTGGTCTTCAGTTTGGGACTGGAGAGAGCATAAGTCTGCCTCTGTGACCCATGCTGACTCTTTTGCAGCAAGCTGAACTTCACGCCCCTGGAGCAGGAGATGCCTGTGCAGTTCCAGGTGGTGCAGCTGCCAAGTGGCCACCACTTATGCAAAGTCAGAGCCCTGAATAAAGGTGATGCCAACTCTGAAGTCACTGTGTACTACCAGGTGAGTTGGCCCCATTGCACAGCAGGTCTGCAGTACCTAGGCATGAGTTTACCCAATGGCGTTAAAGGCCCTTTTGTTGCATTAAACTGGAGGCCATTTGCCCTCCTGGAGTTTCTGCACTTACAAAATGTCAGTAAAATGTGCCTCCTTCTCTTAGAAAGAAAAAAAAAATCATGAGTATTGTTTTATTAATCAACTAGTTGGTTAGTTGGTAATGTAGAACACATAATAAAATGCAATGGAACAGAACCCAAGCAGCAAGAAGTTTTTAAAGGACAACTTGGAAAGAAATGAAGTGAACCTAGCTAGCTAAGCAGTCGGCATAGAACAGAATTACTGCCAGATGCGAAAAGTCATCACCTGCCTTTTGTGGGAGGATAAATCCAAGGCAGAACTCTTTCTTCTCTGGGACTCAGATCTCCTTTGTGTGTGTGTGTGTGTGTGTGTGTGTGTGTGTGCGTGTGTTCTTTCCACAGTGCAGTGGGGAAGAGGTCTGTAAAAAAGCGCTTCCCAAGCCTCCATGTTGGCTAAGCCTGCAGTAGCCTTTGGATAGCCTGGTTTTGTTTACTTTTTATTGTGTTGCTGGTCCTGAGTCTTTCCCTTTATTGTAGTGTATGTTTCTGCAGAAGAATGTGGGAGTAGGTCAGAGGCCAGCCTTGGGGATCCTTCCGAAGGTGCCATAACCCTCCCCCTTCTTCACAAGCACTGAGACAAGGTGCCTCACTGGCTTGGAGTGCAACAAGTAGGCAAGGCCAGTGGCCATGCGCCCAAGGATTACAAGCACATGCTACCGTGTTGAGATTTTTTTTCAAAAGAATTATTTAGTTTTATTTTATGAGTATAGGTGTTTTGCCTGAACGTGTGTCTGTGTACCTTCGGAGGCCAGATAAGGGTGTTGGATCCTTGAAACTGGAGTTACAGATGGTTGTGAACCACCATTTGGGTGCTGGGAATTAATTCCAGCCCAACCCCAGCATTTTCAAAATGTGGATTCTAAGGATTGAACTCGTGTCCTGTGCTTGTAGGACAAGCACATAACCATCTGAGCTATCTTCCCAGTCATTCCTCTTCTCCATGTTTCTTATTTTGACATTGTCCTGGTTATCAGAAGCATATTCATCTGCCTGATGCTATGGTTGTCTCACACTATCTGCTTCCCTCTTCACAAAACACACTCGACCAGTTATGTGGTAGCCCTATTAAGAGGGAAATAGGACTTCTTGGTGCTTGTGAATCAGACTGTCCTCTTCCTCTGTTGAAGTAGGAGAGATAAGGAATGACTCTGTCAGAGAAGTCTGCAAGAGACCTACTCTAGCATGTAGCAGCAACATCCTTGTTTGGGCTCCACCCATCCTTTTACTCTGAGTTCATTTGCTATTCTCCAGACTTCTTGGGTATTTCCATAGCACTTGGTTTGTGTCTATGTGTTTGACTGCAAGAACAATAAATTCATTGTTTATTCAGGTGAGAAACAGATTTAGGATCCTCCACACTCAGCATTTCCTGCCGCCCTCCTTAGGGCCTTGAACTGTGTGATTATACAGTGTATCCTGAGCCTTGCAGGCAGGCACTGTCAGGCTAAGTATTGTTGGCTTCCCCCATGTCTACATAGAAGTCTATACCAGTGCCAACAATACAGGTGTTCCAGCACTATTCCTGTTCTCAGGCTAGTGGGAAGGTATAGTAAACATAACTGTTAGAAAGTAGTTGCTAAGATGGATCGCAAAATCCTTGCTTGTAATTGTAAGCCATTGTTTTCTCTTCAGTCAGGTACCAGGAGTCTAAAAGAATACACTCTTATGGAGCTGCTTGTGGTAAGTGCATGAAGTGGTGGTCAGGATTCCTGGTTTACCTACCATGAGGCCAACCTTCCTGCCTAAGGGCTGTGGACCTGTGGTAGTCAGAAACTTGTAATTGGTAGATCAGGTGGCCACTAATTCTCATCCGATATGAACAGTCAGGGGGCCTGGACCATTTAGGCCTGTATGGGAGGAGGATTTTGGAGGTATATATATATATATATATATTACATCTTGGGGTGAGAATTGAGGTTTCTCTTCTGGGAATGGAGCTGATGGAAAGTATGTTGAATTACAGATGCACATGGAAGAGCCCTGCTTTGATTTCCTTCGAACCAAGCAGACCCTTGGGTAAGAGCAATGAGGGCTTGGAGCTCCCTTGTAGACAGCTTGTCAATCTGCTTTGGCCCTCCCATACCTTACAGTATAATACCTCCATGTCAGTACTTTTGCAGTTTGTATGTTGGACTATGATCAGTTCATTGAGGCATCTGGATAAGCCAGAAAAGTGAGCTTGTTGAGCACTGGGGTAGGTACCTTCACTTGAGCCTACAGCAGCTGCACACACATACCTATGTTCCTTTTGGGTCTTCCAAAAGGGCAGAAGCCCTTCAGCCCATGCTCAGTGCCTCTCTGGACAGTAATCAGGTAATCAAATGAACTCCTCTAACACCTCTGTCTGGCTTTTTAGGTACCATGTCTACCCGACCTGTAGGAACACATCTGGGATTCTAGGATTCTCTGTAACTGTTGGGAGTCAGGCAACCAAATACAAGTAAGAGAGTAAATGGATGCACTCCTGTTCTAGACATGGGGGTGAGGCACTGCAGGTGCTTTCCTGAATCTGGTACAACTGTGACGAAGCATGGTTTGCTTTTAGTTGGAAGGGGTGGACAGCACATCTAGGTCTAATCAGAGGGTTTACTTGTTCCATAGGGTGTGGCTCAAATCTTATAGGTCCCTCTGCAGGGCTTACTAGAGTTTGTTACCAGGGGGACTAGAGAAAAGGGATGTTGGACTGATGATGTGGCTCATCACCGAATGCACAAAGCCCTGAGTTTGATTCCCAGCACCACATAAAGCCAGGCATGAGAGCATCCTCTTGTAATCCCAGCACTTGGGAAGCAGTCAAGAATAAATCAAGGCCAGCCCAGGCCTTAAAGCCCCAAAACACCAGATGGCTCAGTGGGTAGGAGCACCTGATCTTGGAGAGGATTAGGATTTGATTCCCATGCTCTACATTGTGACTCACGAGTGTCTGTAACTCTAATTTCAGGGAACCCAATGCGTTCTTCTGACTTTTGTGAGCAAAACATACATACACATAATCACCCTCTTAAAAAAAGCCACACCCTCTGCACCTGAGGTGTAAGGCCTTGCCAGTTTTAGTTGTGGCGTGGCCCAGCTAGCTATTATTGTGTCGTCGTGTGGGGACTTGGAAAAGAGAGGAGCAAGAGTTCTTCCTCATTTTCTTTGCTCTCCTGGCTTAGGGTAGAAAACTTTCAGCCTTTATACGAGTGGGCCTAAATTACTTTGGCTTCTACCCAAATTGTTTCAGCTCTGAAACTGTTGACAAGAAGATAGAAGAGTTTCTCTCCAGCTTTGAGGAGAAGATTGAGAACCTCACTGAAGAAGCATTCAATACTCAGGTGCCTGCTGCCCATTCTCTAAGCCTTGAGGACACCAGAGCTGGTCACTACCATGCTTGCTAGGATGTTCATGTCCCAATGTCCCTTTAAAACCCAAAATGCACAGGTGCCATGCTGGCATGCCTATCACAAGTCAAGTTTGTTCTGAATGGGTGTGATATCATGGTCGACAGGTCACAGCTCTGATCAAATTGAAGGAGTGTGAGGACACCCACCTTGGGGAGGAGGTGGACAGAAACTGGAATGAAGTGGTGACACAGCAGTACCTTTTTGACCGCCTTGCTCATGAGGTAATGATTTTTCAGACCAGGACATCCCTGAAAGACATGGGAGGCCCTCAACTGTACAGAGTCGAAGGCCCAAACAGTTATGTGGAGAATCCTAGGCCATGTGTCCTGGCTTGTCTTTCTCTTAAATCTTCAGTTGTCAAGAGTCATTGCAGTTTCTCTGTACGATGCTAACCTTTACCTCTGTACATGGATCAGTGTACATGGACCAGTTTCAGCCAGAGCAGCTCCACTTTGAAGTTTATGATGAGATTTTATGGGGGGAATTTATGGGTTTCTACCAAGGAATATTTAGTGTGTTTACTTTTATGAACATGGAGTTCTTTCAGGTCTTTTGCCATTTTTAGCTGAAATTAGTGAAACCATCACAAAAGCACTTTGGTTCGCTCAGATATGCAGTGAATATCAATTCTGTGAGCCAGCTAACTGTCTTAACAGCTGGGTATGAGGGGCCCCATGAAACAGGATAAAGACTGGGTTTCTTGCATCGGCAGCAATCCTTAGCTGTAATCACACCTTTGCTAATGGAGACAGCTGCTCTGTTCTTTTGTGGAAGGGTGGGGGCAGGCAAACTCAGATGCTGAGGACTGGGACACATGTCTGCCAATGATGATGCTCTTACACCTGTTTCTTTCCTGTCTTGTCTTCTCTGCAAGATTGAAGCACTGAAATCTTTCTCAAAGTCAGACCTGGTCAGCTGGTTCAAGGCTCACAGAGGACCTGAAAGTAAAATGCTCAGCGTTCATGTGAGTACGGCCAACCATTTGGAGTCATTGACACCGAGCTGGCAACTAATCACCCCAGTCTTTGCTTTTTCCAGGTTGTTGGATATGGGAAGTATGAACTGGAAGAGGATGGCGCCCCTTTTCGTGAGGACTTCAATTCTGGTGAAGGGATGCAGCTGACCTACCTGCCACCCTCTTCTCTCCTGGCAGACTCTACCATCCCCATTACTGATATCAGGGCCTTCACATCAACACTTAGCCTCTTCCCCTACCACAAAATAGTCAAATAAACTGCAGTCTCATTGGCCTGAAGTAACGTGTATTTTAAAGACGTGTGTGAATTTTATGGAGTTACACTACTTACTGCCTTAGGGCTTCCGTTGGATTTTTTTCGATGGTAACCTAGGATTTGTTTTACTTTTCTCTCCTCTGCAAGACTAACCCAGGGTTACTGCACTGGATGGCAATGAGCTAGTAGCCCCAGACACTCATGTCAGCAGCTTGCCTGGCCTGTGTCCTCTGAGGAGGAGAACCCAGTTCTCGTGTGCCTACATGTAACTAATTTGTTATAGCACCAAACTGCCCTGTTTTGTTTTTTAATGTATTTTTAAATAAACATAGTTCTGTATTTCCCTTCAGATCAAGCCATCTGATGTGGCTTTTTTGGGGTGGTGTTAAAGAGTGTGCTCCTCGAACCCTGCAAGGCAGGTGTTTCAAGCTGAGCCCGGGAGAGGAGGGGGAGGGATCTGCCTCAGTCAGAGGTTGCCAAATTGGTTTCCAAGTTTAGTTATATAAACAATGAAAGAAACATATTTTTAAAAAGGTTGGAAAATTATTTTATGAAGCCTTAAGAAGCACTGCATATAATTATACTAATCCAGGTTTAGATACAATCTAATAATAGTTCAATTCTAAAATAAAGATTATAGGTGAAACCATGAAATTTCCTAATACTTGATTTCCATACATTGCTCTAATTTTCTAAAACAACTCTGAGGAAACAGTATTTACAGGAGGGTGTACTGGTGGAAAACCTGTCAGGTGTACTCTGTGTGTATGTGTGTGTGTGTGTGTGTGTGTGTGTGTGTGTGTATCTAGAACCCAAGATTCTATATTATATGAACTAGGAGAAAAGATGTGATGCCTGAACCACAGAATTGAGGACAGGACACTAAGACCTGGGTCTGTCTTGACTGTAAATGAAGCATGGGATCTGGAAAAGGAAGAGACATCTTGTTTCAAAACCTGAAGTTTTTCTCAGGACTGAAGCCAGAATTGTAACTGCCACAGAGGACAAAAGTGAAGTGTTTTCCACTTTAATTGTTCGTCTGTGTCATCAAGTCCAGTATCCCTGAGATAGGAACCACTGCAATAAGAAAGGAAGTGACAGCTTCTCCTGAAGGAAGATCGATTGTTGCTTAGTTACGCCTACTGCCCTGGTCACCAGGTGCGAAGTGAGTTGCCAGTCTAATGCTTCACAGCACCAAGACGCTTCAGTAGTGGTTCATCATACACCCAGCATTCTCCATCTTCATGGAAGAGCTATAAAAGGAAGAGGATTTAGTTAGATAGTGCACATTTTTAGCCATGCCCATTCCCACACTCTGAACTGAGTGTCAGGTCCCTACCAGGGAAAACTACTGAGGCTTACCTCTTCAGTCTTGACGGAAATGAAAAAGTTACTGCTCAAGAAGCTACAGAGGAAACCAGGACTTACCCTTGTCTCCCACTGAATTTCTTTCTCCTTCCTTTCTCGGGCTTCTGCTCTTTGTCTTTCTTCAAGTCTGTGCTTTGCTTCGGTTGCTGCATCAATGTCTCTGATTTTTAAATTGAAAGTGACATCCTTCCAAAGGCTAAAGAGATGGAAGGAGGCTGTGAGCTGGAGAATGCAAGCCTACAGGCACCTAACTGGCTGCTGAGCAAGCAGGGAGCACCACAGTGTAGACTAATCCTCCTTAAGCTGCTAACAGTAACAGGAGCAGTAACTGCTAATTGTCAACAAAGGAAGAGGATAGACAGCTTGACAGGATAGGACAACAGCAAGGGCTAAGACTTAGGTGTCTGCCTCTGAACTCCTCTCTGGCTCTCTGTACAACTCCAGGGAGTCAGTTTATTTCTTAGGGTTCAGTGTCTTTTACTATAAACTGAAAGGGTTAACTGAGGGAATCTGATAATTTTCATTCCAAAGAAACTCTCAGATTAAGAATGTGATCTCGAAAGGGTCAAGAGGTCAACTGCAGGGACTTAAGGGCATAAGAAGTGGCTCCTTCATGTCACCGCTATTTCAGCTGTAGGGAAAGAGGCAGAGAGAAGTCAGAAAACTTAAATATGGGTACTGACAAAGGGTCCAGTCCCTGGCGCTCATTCTGCACTGTTTTTAAATGCGGTCTCCCAGACCCACCTGGACCCGGGCCTAGGCAAGCAGGAAGCACCATGGCAGCTGCTCTACTTATGGCTCCTTACCAGCGGGACTCATACTCGTTTTGATCTTCCAATTTCCTCACTTTTTTCTTGATTATAGGCAACTTCTTGGTATCTACAAAGATGGTATTTTCCTAGACAACAAGAGGTAAAATGATGCTTTATTATTCAGGGTTACTACAGAGTCAACTTCCCAGGAGACTAACACATAAATCCCACGTATCTCAGCACAGAAGTTTCATGTGCAACTTAAGTTTAAAATAATTCTAAAAGTTTAACGGCTCATTTCAGCAGACACATTCAGCATGGTTGTGTATTCACTACATGTCAGAGAGCTGCTATACCACCTCTATCAAGTAATCTTCATGTTCAGCGGCCTCAAGGAGGATCGGTTGCAAATCCTCTCTCAACTCCAGTTCACCAGCTCTCCCTGATCTATACACCTGGCTTTGAAACACTGAGTGTGCATAAAAACCAAGCTCCTTCATGGCAGGACTATCCTATTTGTTTGATGCAAAGCCAGTCAATGAATTTTATTAATCATACACCTGAGTGTGTAAAGCACAAATTAGCACTTTGTATTGGCTAGATATGTCAATTTGACACAGGCTAGAGTCATCTGAGAGGAGGGAGCCCCAACTGAGAAACTGCCTTTGTAAGACTGGGCTGTAGGCAAGTAGTCATTTAATTAGTCATTGATGTGGGAGGGTCCACCCCATTGTGGGTGGTGCCATCCCTGTTCTGGTGGTCCTGGGTTCTATAAGAAAGCAGGCTGAGCAAGCCATGATAATCAAGCCAGTAAGCAGCTCCCCTCCACAGCCTCTGCATCAGCTCCTGCCTCCAGGTTCCTGCCCTGCTTGAATTCCTGTACTCACTTCCTTAAATGAAGAGCTGTTATATGAAACTGAGTGAAATAAACTCTTTCCTCCCCAAGTTGCTTTTGGTCACGGTGTTTCATCACAGCAACAGTAGGCCTAATTAAGCACATTTCATCTTACAAACCTTTTGACAACAGACTGACTGAACATCTACTAGGTGACTGCCAAGCATTGCTTCATAGTATTCTTATGTGTTTTGAGAACAGAAGGCCATTCTGTTACCTGCACTGTAGGACAGTGAGTAGGCAGTAGGGAAGGCTCACCCAGAAGAGCTGCCAGCTGCTCTTGGTTAAAGTTCCAGGTGAAGGAACTTTAAGCGTGTACAAAGGGCAGGCTACATACCATGCAGCTTAGACAAAGGACTGAACTTCTTACCCCTGTTGCATATTTTGCATACATGATACCATTCCATTCCCCTTCAATTGAGCAGAAAGATTTCTTGTCATTTGGAGAACTAAACAGAAAAGAAACAATTTATATTAGTCTCAAGTTGAAAGCTACTCAAAGAGGTCAGAAGAACACGGGAAGGCAACTGTGAGGTCTGGTTAGAGCAGCTGCAGTCCCATTTCACAGTGAGACAGTCTTTCCTGTTGTTCTTTACTTGGGACAGTGTGCTGCAGAGGACGAGTGGTATGTAGCAATGGACTGAACACAAATACTGCAGAAGAAAATCCATGTCTTCTATAAATTACATCAAGTTCAGGGCCATGCTCCAAACATTTAAAAGACAAACAAAAAAACACCCTTTAGGAAGAGGTCTAACCATGCGGAACTTCCCTCTGACAGCCTGTCTTTTGTGAAGCAGCAGAATGACAGTGTGAACTGTGTCACTAGGCCTGCCCACTTTTGTATCAATAGTAAACTTTTCTGTCCAGGGTCCCATTCTGCTCTTTTGGGGGGGGGAGTGACAGCTGATTTATTCAAATTAAATCCTCTTGGAAAACTGACTAACCAACTGAGACACTGTTCTAGGACAGAGAAAAGTCCCTGGGCACAAAATGACAGACTCCTTTTACAGGCAGCTTCTGAGTCCACGACTCCGTTTCTCAGACATAGCTGCCTCCCATGTCCTAACTGTTGAAAACAAAGTGCCAGATATCTGTGTGATGGCTACTGTTTTCCCTCACAAAGGAACAGAAATGAGGGGTCTATGAAGACATTTTACTGGGGGTTACAGAGCCTGTTTTCATGGCAAGAAGGTTGGAGTCTATGGCACAGGGAGCCTGACACTTAGGGGGTCTTTCAATTCCCCAGTACAAGTCCTCTGGGAGGGATTCCGCCCACCACCCCCAACAGTTCTGGGCCCAGGGTGTAGGTCTCTTGACCTGAGTTGTTTTTTTTTTAAGATGGAGACAGGCTTTGCTTAGTTTCTAACAGAAGTTCAAGAGAGGAAAGTACTTCAGAAAAGTGGAACACCAAGGCGGGAAAACAAAATACCTACAAAATCTCTGCAGTAATTCTGTGCTTCTTGCCCCCATAGAAAGGCTTAGTGTGGAAGACGATATTTGCACTGTAACCCGTTTTGGAGCAGTGAATATTGCATTCTCCTCCTAATTCCACCCAGGGCACTGTCAGGATAGACCTACAAATCAAAGGTTCTCAGGTGAGATGGGCAGTTGGGAGAGCGAGGAGGGGCATGGCCTAAGAACAGCAAGGCTGTTGCTGATGAGAGAAGCATAGTCTACTTGCCTTCCATAGCCATTGGGAAATGTGAGGATGTAATGCTCATCATACTCCAGACAAGAGACACAGCCTGCGGAGAGAACAACAGCCTCTGCTAGGGCAGCAGCTACAGGCCTGACAGGTATGGAGCTCCATTCACTTTAGGAACGGTAAGGTACATACCCACCCCTGTTCTCATCTCCAAATTCAGGGTTACGTGTAAATTATGATACTTGACCTTATTTCCAGGGGTCACTTTTCCTTGAGTATCTAGTACATGCTTGAATTCACACTATCACACACTTACCCTGGCCTATGTTGTGTACCCCAATAGACATCCCAAGGAATTTTGATTTAGTCCAGATATGAGCATTGAATTGTATCTTCTTGTTAAAACACTCAGCGTAAAAGGCTGAAACTGAAAAAGAAAGTGTTTTCCATGAGTGTTACATAGGCACTGCTCCAAATGACTGGCCCCACAGAAAAGCCTTTTCCCTAAGAGAAGAGCCTCAAGCCATGCTAGGTGTGTGTGCCTTTTACCCTTTCCCCAGAGCATGCACACCCAGAGCCAGGGGGCAGGACACCCTCCACCCAAACACACACACACACACACACACACACACACACACACAAACACAGGCTCATGGCCAATCCAGAAGGCTTAAAATCTAAAGGGC